AAAAGGGTTCTCCCATTGTTACAAGCTTGGCATCGTATCAATAGCAGAACCCTTTCTAGAAGCATTTGCAAAAAGGTTCTACATAGAACCATATACAACATAATCTCCATCATTCTGAAGAACCATTGAAGCGTATAGAACCTATTTATGCTCAAATGGTTCTCTGCATGGTGAAATGGTTCTTCAGATTGATGGAGCATGTGTTGTATATGGTTCCATATGGCACCAAAAAGGATTCAGCTGTAGTTATGAAGTCAAGCTTGTAACCGCAGCAGAACCCTTTTTGGAGCTATGTAGAACCATTTTCAAAAAAGTTCTATTCAGAGCCCTATGCAACACATTCTCCATCAATTTGAAGAACAATTGAAGTGTATAGAACCATTCCATGCTCAAATGGCGTGTTGTATATGGTTCTATATGGCACCAAAAAGGGTTCTGCTGTAGTTACAAAGTCAAGCCCTTTTTTGGAGCTATATAGAACCATTTTTAAAAATGTTCTATATAGAACTTTATGCAACACATTCTCCATCAGTGTGAAGAACTGTTTCACCATGCAAATGGTTCTACACAGAACTCATGGCTCTAACAGAACCATTCCCTTCACTAAAGAACCCTTGAAGAACCGTCTTTTTTAAGAATGCAGTTCTGCCACCCATCTTGACAGAAACAAACGAACGCTGTTGATCTTCTCTTTCTCCTGGACGCAAAGTGCTTCAGGCGCACTTCAAGCTGGAAAGAAAGCAGAACAGAGCGTTTGGGAGGGTGTCGAATCTGTTTTGGTCGGATGGCTCTGTGGCAGAGACGGTGGATTAGAGAGGAACCGTGCGCCAGCTTTTCTTTATTCCTGCAAGGAAGCACATTTGCATCCGCATATCATTTCAAAATTCATCGCATTTACAATTAAATGCCTTTCAAACATGATTTATCGCACTCTCACTGAGGGGACCACAAATGTGGCTGCTTCACCTTTGGGTGAACCCAGAGAAGCTCTGCCGGGAGAGTTCTCAAGAGTTTTGAATGCACTGTGGAGCCCTTTAGCTGTTTGTTCAGTAGATTTCAAGACTTGTTTCCATAATCAGTCTCCTGAAACTCATCCAATTCCCACCAGTTCACAAACTCAAGACAAACGGGGACCTGAGCGAGCTTTACCAGCCTTTCAGGCAGGATACATTAAAATAAACATGAAGAAATTACAAATATGAGATGTTCAATGCTACTAATAATAAATAGTAATTGTAATAAATCTTTATTTATACAGGGCTTTTCATTTTTGTTATAGATTTTCAAAGAGCTTTACACAGAACTTCTGGGCATCTGCTAGTCTAAACAAACATGTTTTAATCTGGTTTTTAAAAGCACCAATCGAGTTGCATTCCTGAAATTCTCTAGAATGCTATTTCAGAGTTCAGAAGCTATATAAGAAAATAATTTTCCACCAACTGAGCTGAAAGAAGTCATAGGTTTGCAGTTTGGAGTAATATGGTAAAAGGCACTCTTGCTGCTGTGTAGCTTTAGATTGAAAAGACAAGCCAAACAATGGAATACTGCATCATAAAGATAAAGATAAAGATCATAAAGTACTGCATATACATAAACAGGACTTTAGTTACATCACTGGTATCAGAACCTTCTGTGAATATTCAGGCAAGACTAGGTGTGCAAACCTGTTTACAAAAAAGTTGGGACGCTGTGCAAAATGTAAATAAAAACAGAATTCAATGATGTGCAAATCTTTTAAACCCTATATTTAATTGAAAATAGTGCAAAGACCACAAATCAAATGTTGAAACTAAGAATTTTTATTGTTTTTTGAAAAATATTGGGCCATTTTGGATTTGGTGCCAGCATCAAGTTTCAAAAAAGTTGGGATGGGACAATAAAAGACTGGTAAAGTTGTGAATCTAGAGAAATCTCTGTATGCAAGGGACAAGGCCGAAAAGCAATATTGGTTGGCTGTGAGGCAGCACCTGAGGCAGCACTGCATTAAAAACAGACGCAACAGACGCAACTCTGTAGTGGAAATCACTGTGGAAAACCATATTTAAACAGGATTCAGAAACACCGCCGCTTTCTCTGGGCCTGAGCTCATTTAACATGGACTGAGGTTAAGTGGAAAAGTGTCCTGTGGTATGAAAAATCCAAATTTGAATTTCTTGTTGGAAATCGTGGACACTGTGTTCTTCAGGCTAAAGACCACTCATCGTGGTGTCGTAGTAGTAGAGTCCTGTCACCCACTGAAAACATTTGATGTATTACGAAATGAAAAATGTGACAAAGGAGACGCTAACCTGTTGAGCAGCCGAAATCCTATTTCAAGCAGGAATGGGAAAACATTTCACTTGTTGTCCTTGTTGACCAGCCACATTCATAGAAGATACTGAATAATTGATAATAGTTACTGAATAATTTATAGGAGATACTGAATAATTCCTAGTGGATACTGAATACTTCATAGTGGATACTGAATACTTCATAGTAGATACTGAATACTTCATAGTGGATACTGAATACTTCATAGTAGATACTGAATAATTCATAGTAGATACTGAATACTTCATAGTGGATACTGAATACTTCATAGTGGATACTGAATACTTCATAGTAGATACTGGGTTCTACGTAGGAATGAATGAATAATATAGAATAGATACTGAATATTTCATAGTAGATGGTGAGCTATACATAGGAATTAATGAATAAAGTATAACAGATAACAACTAAATAATTCATAATAGATACAGAATAACATAAAGCTTACTGAATAATGTATAACTGATAATGAATAATTTATAACATGCTGAATAATTCTCAAGTTGCTGAATAATTCATGGGAGTACTGAATAATCAACAATAGCTACTGAATAATTTATAGTAGGCACTGAACTATGCATAGGACTTACTGAATACAAAGTCTTAATATTAATAACTGAAATAATGCTTCCCTTCCTCCTAACAGCCGATTCCACTTCAAAGCCTCGTCATATGGCAGATATTAAGTTAATACTGTCTCCACTGTGGGGCCCATTTATAGCTTATTTTACATATAGTTAAAGCTCCCCTATTACATAGAGCAGCATATCGAGTTTATCTGTAATCCTCTTTACTGATGCAGCAGTTCTGTACATTAAAGTTCCACTTGAGTACATAGATAGCTGCACCGTTAGCCTGCAGTAAACCCCTCCTGATCACCTCATAATCTGCACATGTTTATGTTTTCCCTGATCCAACACACCTGACTCAACAGATGAGCTAATTATCAAGTTCTTCATTCAATTCATCAGCTGATTATCAAGCCCAATAGGTGTAAAAGATAAGAGGAAAAGGGACAGATGGACAATTTCCAATATACAAACCTGCTTGTAGGCCATCATCTTCTGTTCTTCCTGTGATCCAGGGGTCCTTAAGCCCAGTCGTGGAGAGACACTGCGGGCAGACTAGGTTTAATCTGCCTGTTGTCTTTCATGAACGTGTCTCATCGGTTAGTCACCATTGACAGGTGTGATTGTCTCAACCATCTGGAATCTACCTGTGCACTATTTCTGCATTAATGAATCAGTCAATAAAATATCTCATAATAAATATCTCAGTTTTTTACATGAAGACAGTAATATCTCAATTTTTAAACACAACAGCATCAATAATAGAACACAATATTTATAATATCTCCAGTGCAGTAGTGTGTTAGGGTAGTGTGTGGAGGTAGGGACTGTTTGAATTGTGTAGGGTAGCATGTTAGGATGGTGTTGTGTGATTGAGATTTTTAACCTGTGTTGGGGAGTGTGTTAGAATGGGAAATGGACAGTAAGGGTCAGTGTACAGTTATAGATAATGATTGGACCTGTGTGGGGTAGTGTGTTAAAGTAACGTGTTGGGTTGATGTGTTGGGGAAAGGAATATACAGACCTGTGTGGGGTAGTGTGTTGGGGTGATATGGTGGGATTGAGAATTTGAATGTGTGTTGGGGTGGTGTGGTGAAGCTGAGAGTTTGAACTTGTGTGTGGTAGCGTGTTAGTGTGGTGTGGGGAGGTCTGTTGGGATGGGGATTCTTTGGACCTTTGTGGGGTAATCTTTGGGGGTAAGGGAATGTTTGGATCTGTGTGTGTGTGTAGGGGTAGGGAAGGCTGGGATCTGTGTAATCGTGTTGGGATAAGGGAATGTTTGGATCTGTGTGTGTAAGTGTTTTGGGATAGGGAATATTTGGAGCTCTGTGTATGGGTGTTGGGATAGTGAATGTTTGGATCTGTACGTGTATGTGTGTTGGGATGAGGGAACGTTTGGATCTGTGAGTGTAAGTGTGTTGGGATAGGGAATGTTGGGATCTCTGTGTGTGTAAGAGTGTTGGGATAGGGAATGTGTGGATCTGTGTGTAAGTGTGTTGGGTAGGGAATGTTGGGATCTCTGTGTGTGTAAGTATGTTGGGATAGGGAATGTTTGCATCTGTGTGTAAGTGTGTTGGGATCTGGAATATTGGGATCTGTGTGCGTAAGTGTGTTGGGATAGGGAATGTTTGGATCTGTGTGTAAGTGTGTTTGGATAGGGAATGTTGGGATCTCTGTGTGTGTTTTGGGATAGGATACGGAATGTTTGGATCTGTGTGTGTGTTGGGATAGGGAATGTTTAGATCTCTGTGTGTGTATGTGTGTTGGGATAGGGAATGTTTAGATCTCTGTGTGTGTACGTGTGTTGGGATAGGGAATGTTTAGATCTCTGTGTGTGTACCTGTGTTGGGATAGGGAATGTTTGGACCTGTGTGTAGCCGTGTTGGGATAGGGAATGTTTGGACCTGTGTGTAGCCGTGTTGGGATAGGGAATGTTTGGACCTGTGTGGTGTAGAATAGAATCCCTCCTATGATCTAAACTCTGGTCTAACTGTCCTTGTATCACCGGGCTCAGTTTACCACCCCCCGCCCTCCCTCACATAAACAGAAACTCGCAGCTCCTTTAACGTATTAGCATATCATGTGACGTGTGGTGAGGGCGTGGCCTGCGCTGAACTCGTGTCCAGGCAAAACACGCTCAGCTCCTTCCAGACAAGTTGAAGCTGTGTGGAGCGCGGAGTGGTGCGGCTGGAAATTACGCCTAAAACTGGACATAACAGTGGACATAACTGGCCAAGTACTACCGAGAGACATTTTAAAAAAGGGGAAAAAGAGAAAAAAACTGGCGGTGAGTCTTTTCTCTGCTGTTTGCTGTTTGTTTACATCAGAAATGTCCGAGTAAACTCGTCGTGGAAGTGGAAAGTAACGACATTTGAGCGTACTGCGGTCACTACTGTTTTGCTACAAAACGACATTAAATGAGGTTAAACAGTCATGTATCGTTCTGAAATGCGAAATCCCGTGGTTGGAAGGAGGCGGTCTACATCACGTTCGCTTTATTCGGCTTAAATACAGCGTGGAAACGCTTAGAGTGCCTTCGAAGTGGTATAAAAGAGAGAAAATCATATGTTAACGTTGCTTTAATGCGCTTAAACAGCCAAAAACACGGCGCAAATTCACATAAACCACATAAAACGGCATGTAACACAAACCCTGGACTGAACAGACTAGGACAGTCCTGTTATGAGGTCTCCCTGACACACAGCAGTGCTGCTGGGATGGGCTGAAGTTGGGCGTAGATGTAGATTAAGGAGCGGTGTGTTTGTGAAACCAGCCCCAGATCTACACATCACCCCGTCCAGAAAGCTCAATCTTATATCTATTCAGCGGGTCCAGTAACAAAGCTGAAATTGGCTTCTTGTTGAAATTTTCCGTTCCACCTTAAATGGTGCAGCAGTTACATTCTGGCGCCTGAGGCGCCAGAATGTAACTGCTGCACCATTTAAGGTAGAACGGAAAATTTCAAACTAGAAGCCACTTTCAGCCTCGTTGTTGAATATTTGTACTCTTGCAAACCGTGTCTGCTTGAGAAAGCGCACTAGGCATGGAAAAAGATGGAAATAGTCCAAAATATGATCACGTGCTTATAGATCTGAAAGGGAAATTCCACCAGTTTTTCAAAATTGTCTGCCTAATTCAGTGTTTCAGATGTAAACAGAGAGATTCAGAGTGGTTTGGTGTGAAATGGTTCAGATGTGTTTACAGTGGTGCTGATAGGAACCAGGGGTCGCCATGACTACAACACAAATATAGACATTTTGTTTACTATCCAGAACCACCAGTGAACCTACACGAGTCTTCTGAGTTTATATGGAATGTTGATGATGGAAAATAGTGGAAAATCTAAAATAATACGTTTTCTTTGGGGACTATTTTGCCTCACAGCGCTCTGCATGTATCCCTCCACCATGAATGGAGTTTAAGTTCTCCAAACTATCATAAAACAGTGTCTCAGTCATCAGGCAGTGAATTCATAACCATTTCATGTAGGAACTTTAGCTTTTAGAGGTGGACGTCTGGTTCCTATCACCACCACTGTGAACAGTTCTGACTCTAAGTTTCTCTAGAAAGGAGCGTGTACATTCTTGCTGTTTGAGTATGAGATGTTTTGCTGATATCATCCATACCCCATGCAGGCCTGTAATGGCAGCGCGTGGGCTGCAAACCTCACATCCTCTCTGTAGATGCTACAAACCAATAAGGTGTTAATGTGAATGTGTGAAGCGCGAAGCGGCCAAACAAGCAGATTAGTCATTTCTCCCACTGGGTGTCTTCATTCAGACAAACTCAACCCATTCAGCATTCAACACATCCTGTCATGCTTTCACCTTTCCTGTTTCGTACGCAGGTTGTTGTTTGAATGGTTGTTTACTACGACAGACCAACAGATTCTGGGAGTGAAAGAGAGTCAGATTAATTAAAGGGTTGGTCTGGTTATCGTAGCTAACGCAGCTGCACCCAGACGGGGTTCAGAATTCTGACTAATCAAGTTCCTGTTTGTTGTTTTGCCACCTGGTTCAGACCTTTTTCTCGTGAACAGACCGGATTTGAATTGATTCTTGATTCTGCTTTGGTTTCTGGGAAATGCTGAAACTTTCCCTCATTTGAATAAGACCTCTGTCAGACTGTGACGTTGCTGTGGTCTCACTGATGCTAGTGGCTGATTTCTGATCAGTATTAAAGACAACAAACAGTCCCAGAAAAAAGGTTACTTGGTTCTTACTTGGTTACTTTTCCCAAACATGCTAAAGCGTCCAAGTATGATGACTAGTGGGAACCGGTTGGCATGTTTTGCATCCTTAGTCCTGTTGCTTTGTGGCAATGCTTGCATGTTTTGGTAAAAGGCCCCGCTTTAATAAGTAGAGTATTTTTAATGCACACCATAATCCGTACGTTTTTTTGTTAAACTGCACGCTTCTGTATGGGCTGAACGATTCGATTGCAAGCGGCCAAATTGAAAAATCAGTTGCCTGGTTAAATAACATGAATCAAATAAAGTGCTACATTGACATTAGGAGGTGACTGACTGTTTAGCACAATGAGTAATGCATAATAAGTCTACAGCGTTTTGGTTCAGGTGTAGCATCAGCATTCAAATACAGCGCGAGGGCTCTAACCTGCCTCTAGTGTTTACCTCACAGAACTGCAAAATCAAAATAATAAATTGGCTGTTTGACAGTCATGTGTTTGGTGCATGATATCCAATCCTGATCATGCCCTCTCCAGGCTCCGCCCATAAGTGTTCTTTTATAACTACTATTGTGTGGTTGCTTTACACAATGTTAGCAAAAAATTCCATTCGACCTAATAAAGTGTAGCACAGAGTGTTATTAGGGTCTCATGGGTCAAATTCAACACATTATAAAATGACCATTTCCAATAAGTAGACCAAACAAAACATTTTGGTGTAAAGTTCGTCATACTGTGCACATATGAAAGATAAGGTCCATTTACTGCAGCATTTTAACATAAAAGGCTGCATTTGAAAGCCTTAAAATTTTTCATTGACAATTAAAGTTTGTATCTATGTACAAATCTTTATTGACATGTACCCAAAGAGAGTCGTGGCCATAATAGCAATGTTGGGCGAACTTGCAAAGCCAGCTTGGACCCCGCAAATTGCCGCTTGCGGCTATATTTCATTTTATTTTTTATTTTTTGGATTTTTCCTGAATTTTATCCCCAATTCAGTCGTATCCAATTCCACCCACTAGTTAAGACTTCCTCAATCAGACGGTACCATCAGCGCTAGGAGGGTGAAGTCCAGCCATTTTCAACTATTTTATCATGTATGTATGCAAAACGTGAGATTAAGATTGAGCGATGTTGAAAAATCATATTTACAGGCTAAATAGAAAGTTCTCCGACTGAACGTAGCTAGCTAGCTAAGTTAGCAAAGAGAGGCTTATAAGGCTAGAAGTGTTAAAACAGCTGATGAATTTTCAGTGACATTTACAAATTAGTTTCGTGGTAGTCACTGTATAATAAGTCTTAATATCCAACTATAAGATAATAAAGCTAATAGCTGATGTTAAGATTAAGTAAATACTTAATCACCCTACATTTTAAGCGGTTAACAGTCTGTAGGCTTTTATTTGTGAAGATTGTGGATTGTTTTGATTGAGGCGTGGCCTGACGGGTGCTTTCGGTCTTCTCTGTTCTCCAGGGCGATTTCCGCTGATGGAGGATGAGGAGGAGGACTTGCCTCTGCCGTCTCACTGCTGCGGAAGGCCACTCGAGGACAGAGCGACGACAAACAGAGCTACGCTGAACGATAACTCCGCACCAAGCTCCGGAGGAGGAGGGAGAATGCCGCTTCTTCAGACTATTCCCCGCTGCAGGGTGACGGGCTCTGCAACAGCGCCCCCCTGTGGAACAGCCGGACCACTCCACCGGCCGCTGCACAGCACCGTGGGGTTGGGGTTAGTGTCCAGTCCGACTGGATCTGCAGAAGAGACCAGAGCTCTTCTTCACAGTAAGGAGAATCAGTGAGATCTAAACATGTGGCTTGTTTTTCTGGACGTGGTTTAAATGCATTGGTAGAATAAAAAGTTTCCAGTTAATATCTTGTGACAATTATCTGATTTGATGAATCGAACCATTTGTTCCTTCTTTGGTTCCTCTCCCTTGCCCCGGTCAGAGTGGTGCAATGTTTTAAATTTTCACTTTTTGCAATAACAAATGAATCCATATCGCCCCCTACGCTTCTTGTAGTGTACTGCAGTCTTTTGGAACCGCTGCATATATCATATTTTTTTTGCATAATTTGAAAAGTCCAGTTACCCTTTTCCAAAGTTTCATGATAAAGAATGGGCCAATAGAAATGGTCTACAGTAACGTCTTGGATACATAAACTTCCAGTTAAAACGTTAAGTTACCGTTTCAAAAACGCAAGATTTGCTCTGACAGCAACAGCATGAACATTACAGAACACTGTGTTAACGGGAGAACAGCCCAGCACTGAGCTTCATCTGTGTCCAGGACTTTGGTCCATACTAGAAAAACTGACACAGTGCCTCATTCTGACAAATACAAATGGCTATATGTTGCTTTAAACTGCCACCACACAGCACTTCATCCTGCAATACTCCGAGTTAGTGATGATGATGATGGTTAAAGTGGCTGGTTTTATGTTTACAGGTCTGATCTTCTTCCCTGAAGGCGATCAGGGGTTTGCCCCTCACTTCCCGGCCACGTCCGAGCCGAACCTGCCTGCCGCAAGAGAGGAGGAGCAAGAGCAAGAGGAGGAAGGTGAAGGCAGGCCAGAGGGAAAAGAGGAGGACGCTCAAGAGGGGATGAGCGTGGAAGTGCAGATCGGACGGAAACTGCGCGAGATCGGAGACCAGTTCCAGCAGGAGCACCTAGAGACGGTAAGAAAGAGAGCGAGGGGGTGTGTTCAGGGTCGCTTGAGAAGTGGGATCGCTCTCAGAACTAGGAAAAGACTGTCAGATAGTTTTAAGCTCCAAGTTAGGCTGGAAGATGAGGCTTCGCCTAAAAGTTACCATCGTTTTAAAATGCCAATATGTGATTTTAGAGACACAGTTTGCTTAGATTCCCTAACAGGAATCACCACAAATAGCAGGCTTGTTTTTGCGAGTGACGCAACAGAGCACATTAAAAAACACCACCACTATGACCCCCACTGTGCTGAACAGAGTACCTGATGTTCAGCACAGTGGAGGTCAGATGACTCTGAACATCTACAGTAGCCTGAGAGCCTGTCATTGTGTAGTTCCTGTTTATTCAGTGTAGTGATTAGCTTATTTTAGGTAGTGTAGTTAGCAGTTAGCCTGTTCTACCCAGTGTAGTGATTAGCCTGTGTTACCCTGTGTAGTGATTAGTCTGTGTTACCCTGTGTAGTGATTAGTCTGAGTTACCCAGTGTAGTGATTAGCCTGTTCTACCCAGTGTAGTGATTAGTCTGTGTTACCCAGTGTAGTGATTAGTCTGAGTTACCCAGTGTAGTGATTAGTCTGTGTTACCCAGTGTAGTGATTAGCCTGTTCTGCCCAGTGTTGTGATTAGTCTGTGTTACCCAGTGTAGTGATTAGCCTGTTACCCAGTGTAGTGATTAGCCTGTTCTGCCCAGTGTAGTGATTAGTCTGAGTTACCCAGTGTAGTGATTAGCCTGTGTTACCCAGTGTAGTGATTAGTCTGTGTTATGCAGTGTAGTGATTAGCCTGTGTTACCCAGTGTAGTGATTAGTCTGTGTTATGCAGTGTAGTGATTAGCCTGTGTTACCCTGTGTAGTGATTAGTCTGTGTTACGCAGTGTAGTGATTAGGCTGTTACTCTATGTAGTGATTAGCCTGTTACTCTGTGTAGTGATTAGCCTGTGTTACCCAGTGTAGTGATTAGCCTGTGTTACCCAGTGTAGTGATTAGCCTGTGTTACGCAGTGTAGTGATTAGTCTGTTACTCTACGTAGTGATTAGCCTGTTACCCAGTGTAGTGATTAGCCTGTGTTACCCAGTGTAGTGATTAGCCTGTGTTACCCAGTGTAGTGATTAGCCCGAGTTACCCAGTGTAGTGATTAGCCTGTGTTACCCAGTGTAGTGATTAGTCTGTGTTACCCAGTGTAGTAATTAGTCTGTGTTACCCAGTGTAGTGATTAGCCTGTGTTACTCTGTATAGTGATTAGCCTGTTACTCTATGTAGTGATTAGCCTGTGTTACTCTGTGTAGTGATTAGCTTGTATTAAGCAGTATAGAAAATAGAACATATTACTCAGTGTAGAGTATAATGTTTCACCTTTGAACTGAAAGTGAAGTTTCAACTGAACAGTGCTGATGTGTGGAGTGCGTTAGATCTGCCCTCCATCCGAATTCACTCACCTCTTTGAATATAGGTCAGTGCTAGTGCTATTTGTTCTAGTGCTATTTTAGCACTTCCTGATTAGGCCTTTAGTACCTAATCTAGTGAGAACACACAAACTGTCAGAATGTGAAATCAGAGCCGTGCTAGTCTGTATTTTTGACCATGATGGATGGGATTTTTGTCTGTTAGAGCAGCGGAAACGCCTACAGTACAGCTTTGAGTGCAGTTGACCTCCCACCTCGTTCGATTTCTGAAGATGACTCACAGACTGCTGTCGTTTGCAGGGAAGGGTAATATGTTTACTACACTGTATTTTAATCAGGGGACGGTTTTAATATGCTAAATATATTCTAAATAAAAGTCAGTGTGCGGCAAGGGCGGCGGTCAGCTAACCTTAGAGGACTAAACAAAGCCACCTTTGTACAAAGTGTACAGAGGAGCTTTACTACCGAACTGTTTGTAATTACAGAATGTTTTTGTTTTCTTGTGTACTTTCCATATAAAAGAGAAGTGAAGTGTAAATATACAAACATCCCGTTTGTGAAAGGAGCAAGAAAACAGCGACTGTGGTTTACTTTCGGTTCAGCGTGACCGGTGATTCACTGAAAGCTGGTCGTGTTGGCGGGTTTGCTGTCGAGGCTGGCAGATTGGGGTTTCAGTTTGATTTGATTTTTTGTTTTATTTTATTTTATTTTTCCATATTATCCCCACATCTGAGACTCATTTATGTTGTCTGCGAGTGGAACCCTATGTACATGAAGTGAAGCATAAAAAACCACACAGACAAAGAACAAAGGAAAAGAACATCATGTTTTAAACAGAATGTTCAGTTCTCGGTGAGCTGGTAGCTGAACAGTCTGTGAGTAAAGATGTACAAGTAAATAATGCAGTAGTGATCATTCGTGTCCTGCTGAGTGTCTCTGTAGAGTTAAAAGATGATGTTCTTGATATCCTTGATGAGCTCTGATATTAGAAGAAAGGAATCACAGAATGGTTCTGGGCCAGAAGAGAGTTGGAGTTTATATTTGGTTATATGTTGATGAAGATACAGTCAGGTTCTGTTCAGGGTTTAAGGAACTAGTTAGGAGTTAGGGTTAAATGGGAATTCCAGAAGATTTTTCCTAAAATTTCTCCATAACTCAGTGTGTGAGATGTAAACAGAGCAATTCAGAGTGGTTTGGTGTGAAATGGTTCAGATGTCTTTACAGTGGTGGTGATAGGAACCAGGGGTCGCCATGACTACAACACAAATATAGACATTGTATTTAGCCTCTGTTGAGGCTAAAGGATGAATGGCTGTAAATATGGTGGAGGTGGTATTAATGTAGGATTAAGGTTGAACAGAGGGATGTTGAGGACGAGGGTCAGCTGCTGTAAAATAACAATAACAGCGGCTCTAGTGAGGGGAGGGAGGAGGACGGGGCGTGTGCTCTGCAGGGTGGACAGTGTTACCGTGGGAGGCTGCTGGGGACAGACTGAAGACACGGAGCGTTTCTCTGTGTTTATACTCGGGGCTAAATTTAGACCATGACTCACCCGCTACGTCAGCGGTAACATGACTGCTGTGCTAAATGTAGGCTAACCTAACACTTCTGTGTGAGAAAGAGTGACTGGGACGTTTTTTCAGATGGAGATAAAGTCACGTTCAGAAGAGATTCTGGCAGAATGTAGAAATGGGGAAGTTTTACTCACAGTGTGTCAGCTGTGTTGTTGTAGTGTATTAACTGTGTTGTAGTATATTAGCTGTAGTGTTATAGTATATTAGCTGTGTTGTAGTATATTAGCTGTGTTGTAGTATATTAGCTGTGTTGTAGTATTTTAGTTGTGTTGTTATAGTGTATAGCTCTGTTGTTGTGTATTAGCTGTAGTGTTGTAGTATATTAGCTGTGTTGTTATAGTGTATAGCTCTGTTGTTGTGTATTAGCTGTAGTGTTGTAGTGTATTAGCTGTGTTGTAGTATATTAGCTGTGTTGTTATAGTGTATAGCTCTGTTGTTGTGTATTAGCTGTAGTGTTGTAGTGTATTAGCTGTGTTGTAGTATATTAGCTGTATTGTTATAGTGTATAGCTCTGTTGTTGTGTATTAGCTGTAGTGTTGTAGTGTATTAGCTGTGTTGTAGTGTATTAGCTGTGTTGTTATAGTGTATAGCTCTGTTGTTGTGTATTAGCTGTAGTGTTGTTGTGTATTAGCTGTAGTGTTGTAGTATATTAGCTGTGTTGTTATAGTGTATAGCTCTGTTGTTGTGTATTAGCTGTAGTGTTGTAGTGTATTAGCTGTAGTGTTGTAGTATATTAGCTGTGTTGTTATAGTGTATAGCTCTGTTGTTGTGTATTAGCTGTAGTGTTGTAGTGTATTAGCTGTAGTGTTGTAGTATATTAGCTGTGTTGTTATAGTGTATAGCTCTGTTGTTGTGTATTAGCTGTAGTGTTGTAGTGTATTAGCTGTGTTGTAGTATATTAGCTGTGTTGTTATAGTGTATAGCTCTGTTGTTGTGTATTAGCTGTAGTGTTGTAGTATATTAGCTGTGTTGTTATAGTGTATAGCTCTGTTGTTGTGTATTAGCTGTAGTGTTGTAGTGTATTAGCTGTGTTGTAGTATATTAGCTGTGTTGTTATAGTGTATAGCTCTGTTGTTGTGTATTAGCTGTAGTGTTGTAGTATATTAGCTGTGTTGTTATAGTGTATAGCTCTGTTGTTGTGTATTAGCTGTAGTGTTGTAGTGTATTATCTGTGTTGTAGTATATTAGCTATGTTGTTATAGTGTATAGCTCTGTTGTATTGTAGCTCACGCTGTAACGAATGAATGCGCTGTAGGTTTAAAGAGGGGATAATCGGTCCCTCTCTGGGACTCTAACTGCAGTATTTATCAGTGTAACACGTTCTCGAGCCGCAGCGTGGTGTGTGTGAGGTGTGTGTGAGTTGTGTGTGAGTTGTGCGTGTGTGATGTGGCAGAGTGGAACGGCCATAGCTTATGCAACACACTGCAATACTCCCCATCCGCTCTTCTGACCAATCAACACACTGCTCTACTGAACTCTAAGCCCCTCCCCTAAACCTCAGTGGCGCTGCGCCTGATTGGACAGATTTGCTGCTCATCAAGGAAAGTCTAGGGCCGCTCTGTTGACGCTGACTGGACGGTTAAATGGGGGCGGGATTTATGCATAAAGGGAAGTAGTGCAGGGAAACAGCACCATCTAGTGGTTGTTTCTGTCTTTGTTGTGTTTATTTTCCTTTTTTTTTTAACACAGTACTGTGCAAAGTCTTAGGCCCCAAAGCAAGTTGTTTAAAACTGTTTATCTCAGCAATAAGGTTGTTTTTTTGCCAATAAACACAAACAAACATTATTGCACTATAAAATAACTGCCATGAAAATGTATAAATTGGATTTTAAAATGAAGATAAATGAGTCAATACATAAACAACAGAGGTGAAGCTTTTCAAGTGTGCTAATTTTAGAGACAGTTTGAAATCTGCTGCATTTCTGTCCCCATTTCCATCTCTTCTCGTTTGCCTTTTTGATAGTTGATCTGATGGTGCGAGATTTCTGAGCACTTTTGTGTTTACACTCCTACACAGCATTTTACAACAGCGGTGTGTGGAGTCTATATTTAACGTGAAACCAAGAATGTTTTGGCCCCGAACCATCACGGTCTGTTCTCACTCTTTCCAGAGAGGTTATGGTGTGATAAACTCGATGATAATCAGTAACACTTTATTTATATACACAGCCGAGTCACGTTATTATGACCACTTCCTACTTTCGACGGCGGCAGCGCGTAGCTCATAAAGGAAGTTGCGTGTCGTGAGCTGGCTTGGTGGGTATATAATGTGGAAGGCACTCTCAACTAATTTGGGTACGAATCCATCCTTGCAGATCACGCATACACCCATACATGCTGATCGTCTTCCCTGGGGTCGATGGGATCTTCCAGCAAGACAGTGTGACAAGTCACACATCTAGAAATGTCCGACATTGGTTGAAAGAGCATGACCAAGACTTCCAAGTACTACCCTGGCCCTCTAATTCCCCAGACTGGAACCCAATTGAGCAGCTGTGGGACCACCTTGATCACCGTGTTCGCTCTATGGATCCTCCCCCATGCCCCCTCCAGCAGCTGGGGGATGCACTGCAGTCAGCAAGGCTCCAGATACCTGAGACAACCTACCAGGACCTTACTGAGTCACTCCCAGCTCGTCTGGCTGCTGTTCGTGCTGAACACGGCGGTTACTCTGGATATCAGCTGGTGGTCATAATAATGTGACTCGACAGTGAATTCTCACCTTCACATTCAGCTAAATATCTATGCACCACCTTAACTTTCAGCAACCCCCTATTTATTTACCAAAATCTAGCCCAAACCATGTAGTCCAAACTCCTAATCCTGACGTGAGACACTGTTAATAATCTCCAGATAGTTTATTAACCCCCTAAACTGTATGGATTTCCAGACGATGAGTCTTATTTTTCAGTAACTACATAGAAAACAGTGCAAAAGTTTTGCATGATTACGTCAAATGAGTGAAGGATGGAGGCCTGGAAGGGAGCCGTGCAGGTTAATTTTAGCATCTGTATACAGTTATCCAACTGAAGGTAGTCCAAAAATAATCAGTTGTATTAAATGATAAAATGAAGTAACTATTTTAACCCATTCATGTACTGCAAAATGTAGAAAGATGAGGAAAAGTGCCACAGAACATGTTCTGATTGGTCCAAAGTTATACCTTAGATGGACATTTAACAGTACTTGATTTTTTAATTTTCATACTTTTATAGGTTTTTCATATTGGCTGAGGACAAATGAGTTTAATGACGATTTAAGGGACTCATTTTTCAGGATTTGAAAGAAGTCTTCAGATTTAGAGCTCAGAGAAAACTTAAGCCGAACACAGACAGATTTGTGGCATTTTAGTTGTGAGCTCACCAGTGATATAATCAACGATGTTGCCATAAAACCAATCACTGTCCTGCAATCTGAATCAAAAATAAGTGCACAAGTGTTTCGTTTAGCACTGATTTCATATTCATTTTGGTTTCATTAACGTCATATGACGAATGAAGACATGATCATGTTTGAATCGATGTTTTCTTTGCTTTTTTACAGTTCATGCAGTATCAGAGGGGTCAGTTGCCGGGTTGGTGGCGTTTGGCGACGACAGTCTACAACTTGCTGTTTCCGAGGGAAGCCATTGGACCACGCGGAGCTCAGAGATGAGGGAGCACTTCCTGTCCGGGTGCTAGCGCCCTCTGGGGGTCCACTGCAAGATGAACTTTGGGCTCAGCGATGGAAAGAGTGAAACAAACTGACGAAAAAAGAGAGAAGAACAAGCGCGGGTCGCCGCTGGACGGAGACTTACTCTGCCCCTCTTTTCTCTCTCTCTCTGTGAAGAAGCCATCCTAAAAAACGGGGCCGAAAAAAGTGTTTCCTGTTTCTTTTGCCTTATTTTCATTTAATTTTTTCGTTTCCGCTTGTTACAAAAGAACGGACCTCGCCTGAAATCTGTGAATGCCTTACTTGAGCCTACAACACCGGACTGGAATGATTTTGTAAATCAGGCAAGGAACGATTATTAACCGTTCCGAGCCGCTCAAAGACACTGGACTCACTCCTCACACACAAACTTACAGTTTTCTTTTTTCTCCGTCAGCATGGTTACGATTATTTCTCTTCTGTGCTCGTTTCGGTTCTGTTTTTCTTCTTCTTCTTCTTCTTCTTGGGTTGCCGGTTCCGTCATATCTGTAAGACTTCACTTAGTGCTCTCAGTGCCATCAGGAGATTCAGTTTAACGAACTCGTTTTTTGTAATCGTGGAGGGAGAATCCGAAGACGACTTGTAAACGATCGATCCGAATGTCATCGATGGAGCTTTGTCGCCTTAACCTGCAGTCTAATCGACCTGAAGCCTTTAAGATCCGATGCTGATTTTGTCTCAGAGAGATCAGACTCTGGCCGAGGAACGTTTTCCTTCTCAGAAGATTCAGAAAACGCTTGAAAAAAAACGTAAAAGGTCTATGCGGTTTACTGTGAGCCGTTTCCCAATCTAAGCTGCACGATTTTTACACGCAACGAAAGATTTTTACATGGAAAATCAGACGCTTTTGTAACGAGAACTTCTTTCTTTAGGACTTTCTTAAAGTTTTGACCTGTGACTCTTTAAAATTAAAGGTGCTACGGTGTAAAGAACGGCCACATTTAGCAAGTATTGCCTCATAAAAGGAACAAAACAAAAGAATGTACCTACATATGAATTAAGAAAAAAAATTAGGAATGAAATTAGTGCGTCATTTTTAAAAAAAAAAAACAGTGCCCCAATTTATATATCCTGCATCTTTATCCTTACACTGTATAAATACTTGGTTAATGTGGCATTCAAGCATTAATCTAATCACTGTACACTGCAATCTGTGACAAAACAGAAACGTCTGCAAATGGACTTTAAAAATATTGCTATTTGCATATTGATACCGTCACTGTCGTATGAAAACCTCAGTTTTAAATGTATTTACGTCATTTCAAAATGCTAGCTGTCCTTCGCATTTCGCTACTGGACCAACAGAAATGCTCCAAAATCTCATGACAGTACATTAAAATTATGCTTTTCCTTCTCCTACGAAGTTATTTCCAGAGATACGAGGTTTTCTACGTCAGTGGCGACACGTACGATGGTATCACTACCATAACAGGTGCATAAATGTCCCTCTCAGTGATGTGAGGTGTTACGTCATGCGGAGGTTTTAGATGATATCTGACTAAAACAATCATGTGGTGGGTAGACGTGGAGCTGTAAAAGCAATACTGTCGCCACTAAAGTGCACAAACCAGCGTCCGCAGCAGATAATCTACAGCAGTTACCGTCCAATCAGAGCGAGGAAGGCAATCACTTGTAGGAAATTACTGTAAAAGCGCTTACAATTCAGATACGAACTCAGATCTATGAGCTTGTGGTTCTAATGACGACTCAGTTGAAGAAGTTTGAGGAACTGTACTTCAGTGTATATAAACGCCACTGCTTTTAACAGAATGGGTTGTAAATGTCTATGATTTTGTTTCGATTGGAGACCCCAAACAGTCGATTCACAGATAAAAGTCACAAGGTTTTGCATTCGCCGATGAAATCTGGCAAAAAAGGAGGGAAAAATGTCCACTGGAGATCCTTACGCTGGTCATTTTGACCAGCTGAGCATCCAAAGCTGTTATCTAAAGGTATTTGGTGCATTTCTTCTTCTCCGAAAACAGAAAAAAATATGTACTATCGCTCTCCCCGGCACCTCATGGTGGGCTTTTCCTTTATTGTGACTGTGCAAGAGGCCATTCGTGACTTTACAAGAGTGATCTTTTTATTTTATGAATCATTTCAGGGCGTGGCTAAGATTTTGTCAGTGTCCAATGAGAAGGCCAGGACTTTGTCACATGACTGGCTCGTGATTTGGGCCTGATTTTTATTTATGTGTAGTAAAGAAGGATGGGTGTGCAGGAATGGGACTGTAATAGATGAATAGTATTTATTTATTTTACATAAATACAAATATATATATATCTATATATACCTTTGTACAAATTAAAGAAATATGAACGGATTTAGATGAATTCTCATAAAGGTGGTCATAAATGTAGATGAAATCTAAAATTCAGCTGCATTCCATCTCCACGGGGCCAAATGCTTTGTTCAAGGGACTGTTTCTCACAATTAAACCTGGACTTTATTTATTTTTGCCATTCACAGCTGATAATAACAGCACTTTCTTTGCACTTTCATGATAAATAATTTACATCTTAGCTAATCCAGTACAACTCAGAGTTGGTGCTGGGTTGCGTTTTTGAAGCTGTAGGCTAGTTTTAGGGTTTTCTCGGCACCTGAGTCGAGTCAGCAGCCTTCAAGAGCTGAATCGGGTTGGGTTTTGGGCTGGGCGAAAAAATTAACTATTACCATATTTTCTTGTTAAAAAATTAGGATTATGGATGGCATTACCACTCATGAAATTCCATATGTAGTTCAGTCTAATGCTAAAGTAAAGTGAACAGCCACCAGTTAGCATGGTGCTAATAATCTGAATTGGTGGCTGCTAGCTGTAAACGATGTTAGCATATTTACATACAGCTTAAGATAACTATATACATGACTCTGCTATGAACTTTATAGCATTAGAACCAGGGTGTTCTCATTCCCAACATGAGCAGTCATCGTCTATCAGGGATCCAGTCGTCAATCATTACTGATATCCGGTCCGATTACATCGCCCAGCCCCAGCTGGACCAGTGAAAACACTAAAAGAGAGCAGGCAGACACTCTGGTTCTCATACAGTCCTGAACAAAGCATCGTTCTTCACTTTCCTGTCCTCTTCCTCTCAGACAGGGGGTTTTAGCTCTTGTCCTGGAGTCCAGGTGCTTAGGCTCAGTGCTTTTCCTGCTCTAACACACAGCAGCAGTTCAGTCAGATGCTAACGTTGCTAATGAAGGTAACAACCAGCAGTTAGCATTCTGCTAATAATCTGAAGTGGTGGCTACAGGCTGTAAACCAAACTGGTTTCCCACTCCTGTGATAAAGATCTGCAGTCGTGCTACAGGGACTTCCATAAGAATCTTACAGTAAACAACAACTACTACTGTACAGGATACAGGATATAGTAATACGTATTACTGTCACTGTAAGACTACAGGAACACCGTATGGTGGCAGTGAGCATTACTGAAGTATTAAACAGCAGCACAGAAGGGCTGCAGTTAACTACTGTTCAAACTACTGTTTTTTGTAAGGGACGCTTACAAAATGTTAGCTTACAAGATGTTAGTGCAGGAAAACCCAATGGTGGCTCCCGGTCCTGAAGCTAAAGCGCCCCCTGTTGGGGAAAACTGTATTTTATGGAAGCCTGTTTCCACTACTGGAAAAAAATAGCCGTTTAATAAGTCATAATAATGAGAAAAGTTTCCGTTATGATTTAGTATTTTAATTGTGACTTAGGATCTCATAACTACAACATAGTATCACATGATATGTCATAATTATGACTTAGTATCTCATAATTATGATTTAGTAAATCGTAATTATGAGTTGGTATCTCATAACTGTGACTTACTTTCTCACAATAATATCTCATAATTATGATTTAGTATCTCATAACTGTGACTTTCTCATAAGTCTCATATTTACGACTTAGTATGTCACAGTAATGGAAAACTATCTCATAATTGTGTCTTTATACTGAGGTCCTATCTTATAATTACGACTTAGTATCTCATAATTATGACAGTATATCATTATTACAACTATCTCGTAAATTTACTTAGTATCTCATAATAATATCTGTCGTAATTATGACAATGTCTCATAACTATGATTTAGTATTTCATAATTATGAGTTAGTATCTCTTAACTGTGACTTACTTTCTCATATGTCTCATAATTATGACTTTAGTGTCTCATATTTACAACTTAGTATTTCACTATTGTGACTTACTATCTCATAATTGTGACTTAATACTGGGGTCCTATCTCATAATTACGACTTATTTCCTGATATTTATGACTAGCTATCTCATAACAAGGAGATCCTATCTCATATTATCTCATAATTATGACTGTATCTCATAATAATAACTTATGACTTCCAATCTTGCAGTTACAACTTAGAATCTCATAATTACGACTTAGTATCTCATTATTATAACTTCGTATCTCATAATTACTTACTATGTTATAATTAAGATAAACTTTTTTCATTATTATGTGGCCTCTTTTTCCCAAGTGTGGCAAACGGGCTTGTTTTTTTATTTCATTCCATCCGGTGATCCATAAACCTCCTCCATCCGACTGATCTACAGTGCTATGCTGCATTGCTGTCGCTGTCGAGCCGAGCTAGCGTTAGGTGTGCCTCTTCTACTCGTGAACCGCTCTCAATGATCTACTTGCAGACAATCAGACCGCTACGCGTGCCTTAGGGCCAGCACACCAGCTCAGCAACCAGGCAAAACTTGCAGAAATAAAAAAAGGAAATAAAAATAACTGTTTTTGATGTCAGCTTTAAGCATGAGCACATGCTGGTTTGCCACAGATCATACTGCTGTGAACCGTCCTCTTAGGGTCCAAGCAAAAGGCTAGTTCACTGTGGCTAGCACTGAGTAATCGTTATATGGGGTCAGTATTTAGTTTTTGACATTATTATCGTTTTGAAAAGTAAAATTAAGCAGAAGCAAACGCTTATAAAGCCACAGCCAGGAATGCTAGCATCGACAGTTAGCATTACAGCGCTAACTCTGCGTGGTTTATGTGTTTACAGGCACACAAGGGAGGAAAACTTGCCTAAAACTGTGTAGAATAGTTGCATGTGGGAAACTGCACATCCGAAATGTGCTGGATTTAAGTGTAAGTGAGATTATTCCAAGAGAAGATTGCTGAGTGAGGCCTAACAGAGTTAGCTAAAGTCATCTTTGGTGGTCACACTGAATTCAGTGTTTTGCTTGGACCAGGAAAGAGCTGCCTATGGCTTTTTACACGTTAATGCCCTTTTAAAATGCACTCTTTTACAGAAAAGGATTGGGTGAAAAAGTGTTTCATGAGGTGTATAAAAAATAAAACCCCCGTTGTTGTTTTTGAATGCGTTATTATACAGGAGATAAAATCTTTTTGCTTTTATAAATTATGCTTTTTTTGTTTGTTTTTAAATAAATGATTATAGGATTCTCGTGGGGAAACCCTTGTTATTGAAATGTGAATAAGATTTTCTTTTTTATAGATTAAATGCTATCATAAATGCTGTCATATCACAGATGCTGTTGATCTTTTTCTATAAAACTTGTTGCATTAAAGATGTAAGAAAACACCTGTTTTGGCTGTGCTAGTTTCTCTGTGTGAGTTTTGGAGCCACCTGCTGTCCAGAGGTGATACTGCAAGAGTTCAGCTTCAGTGTATAAACCAATCATGCCAGCAGAAATTAGGGGAAGGGAAAATAGTTAATAATGATAATGATAATAATAATAAACACTTAACAGATGCAGGAGACCCTTAGCAAAAGCTTTGGAACCATTTCCAAAGTTTTTTTGTATGTTTATATGTCATAATATTTTTTCTTTTCATTAGAATTTTTTTTAAATACAGTCCTATTTAATAACAACAATATTCCTATCAATAGTATAAACAGATTTAACAACTACAAATGGTTTGTTTTGGTTTGCATTATATTCTGTGTGAAGGTACAGTAGTTGTATTTGGAAAATTAAGTATCTAAAAAGTGCTATATTAGGGAGGTATTAGGGAGGATTAAACCAAGGGAACAGATTCCTGACTGCAAGCCCAACCACAAGAGAGAGTTGTAGCGTTTTAGATGCATGCATGATACATTTAAATATATTAAATATATGTAAATACATGTAAATATATTCATTTACTCCAACTCTTCTATCAAACCAGCAAAGAACATTTTTATACGTCTTTCAGACTGACTCTACTAAAGAAACGTTTCTGCTGAAAAATGATTCAGAAGTTGATCATCATATATTTCTATTAATGTATTTTCATTAGTAAAACTGCCACAGCAGGTGTTAAAACTCTTCTCGCCTTCATGCCAAGTTAAAAAATCTCTGACGATAATCAACACAGTCAGACACAGTCAAAATTTTATTTATTGCTACTTAATCTGTTCATTGATTTAGCTGTTAAAAGTTGAACAGTACAAAAGGTAAAGCTTTTAGAAAGTTTTAGAACATTTTCACATTCCCATTCAAATAAATACGTCAGGACTGATTCACTGAGACGAGGAAACATTTAAAACCTGAAACACATTCAGAAACAGAAAAGTCGGCTGTGATGATGATTAGAGCTGTTTATCTGGGCGGTCAGTGTTATCAGCTTAGAAAAGACACTAACATTCAGAAAAACAGCAATCAGTTTTAAATCTCCCAGGAAGCTCAGTATTTACAGTATTTACAGTATCTACACTTACCATCCAATAACCAATACCTTTTGATTTTTTTCTGATAACGTCTAGCTTTCATAAATACAATCAGACACAAAAGTTTGAGCACCCCTACTCTTTTGGTCACATGACTGCTAGTTTTTACAAAAACAAAGGACAATTCAAATATCAGTGTGAAAATACAGTCATATGCAAAAAGTTCGGCCACATGATGTTGCGGTTGATTTTCTAAGTGTGAATAAATAAACACATCCTCCACAGAGAACCCAGTTCTGCACATTTTAATACACAATTACTGTTTATTTACTGAACTTAAGATATTGGGGAAAAATAAATCATAAAAGAAATGTTTATATGTTTTGCATTGACACTCTCACTGCGCACTTTAGACTGTAAACACTGCTGAAATTCATAGTTATGCTTATATTCACTGTGATGTAACTCCCTCATACCACTTAGTGCAACACCTGCTCTCTTGTAAATACAACATATCTGTATTATGTGCTATGTAAATATTTATCTATCTATCTATCTATCTATCTATCTATCTATCTGTCTGTCTGTCTGTCTATCTATCTATCTATCTGTCTATCTATCTGTCTGTCTATCTATCTATCTGTCTATCTATCTATTTATCTGCCATATTTGATATTTTATTTTCTCAAATATGAGAGATAAACTGTAAAACTGACCTTTTAAAATGAAAACACCCTTTTTTAGTGTGTTTTACTTTAACAGTTTTATTTTTTACTGTATTTAGGTTTATTTGTTTTTGTTCTCATGTTCTAAAGTGTTTTTTCTGGCTGAAACTCTCTCACTGCCCAGATGAACAGCTTCAACATCTGTTTTGTGTGGCTGAATACTTTTGCACCGTAACCTTTCAGAACATGACGATCAGTGAGTTCATTACTGTGTCATAAACACGATAACATCGAGTGTGTTTACATACACATAATAATCTGATAACTGCAGAAAATCAGATTTTGTCAATAATCCGATCAACATGTTTACATGCACTTGGGTAATCAGAGAATGTGAAACCAGCCAATAAACTCACAGAAGTCTTGATGTAAACGTAACGTAAACTTCATGCTGCAGCTTTTTTTAAACATCGCGCCACTTTAGCTGAAAATATGAACAAACATCATCCAGAAGATGAAGAATATTTAAATCCTTCATTTCGTCAAGCAGCCTTCCGCCCAATGACAGCTGGGATAGGCTCCAGCACCCCACCGCGACCCAGAAGGATAAGCGGTTTAGATGATGGATGGATGGATTTCGTCAAGCATGTATTTGGTTTCAGTGCTGCTCCAAAAGTGTTTTGCTGCAACTCTGATCGCTTATTTTCGGTACCACCGTCTGTTTTTGCACATGCTCAGACTGAGAAATACGAAAGAAATCAGAATAAGAGTTTAAATGCACTAAAAAATCTGATTACTGAGCTAAATCCAGCCTCTTTATCGGATTTCTTAATCGGATTTTTAGATCTAAGAAATCAGAGTGTGCTGTTTATACGACCATTTAAAAAAATCAGATAACTGCAGAAATCTGATTATAATCGGATTATTGAGTGAATGTAAACACGCTCACTGACACCACCTGCTTTCTGTACTTTTTATAGATACTGATTTTTTTCATTAATGCTGCTGGTTTGTTCTACTTTGCTAACATTAGCAATGTTTAGTAAAAGAAATTTAAATGAGCGTCTCTGTTGTCAAAACCAGCAGTCAAAGCTCCAGTTGTTTTTAAAGTTTCCTGCACATGAAAAAAAAACATTTACATTTGTACAAACATGACAGGCATGTTGACAGTATGGTGACGAATCATCAGCTTTAGCTTATCATCAACACCAAAACAGGCTCTCTCAGTTCACCCTTTAGAGGAACACTCCGGTGTTTTTCAGTCTAATCTCTATCAGCTTCCTCTGTATCATAGTAACACAACACTCCCCGCCTCTGCCAGCAGAAGCTAATGAGCAGATGCTTCAGCTCCAGCAGCTGCACATTCAGTGCAGTTATAATGGTATTTTGAGTCAACATGATTTCTGTTCTTAGTAAAACCTGCCGAAATTATGGTCTGTGCCAATCGACCGTATGAAAGAGATAAAGACGATAGAGGTCAGAATGAAAATAGTTGGATTACTCCTTTAATGCTATACACTTTTCTGCAGGCACTTACTGCAGCGCTCCGTGTTGTACAGGGAACGCAGCCTAGCTCACAGTTTGGACTTTAACTCACAGTATAAAGTGCTACAAACAATACAGGCTCTTCTGTCCCTTTCTCTCCTTTAAAGGGAAAAGTTTAACCTTTTAATTATGCAGGAATGTTAAGATGCAAACAAAGTCATTCAGAGTTCACCTGTTAACAGTGGTGGTGATAGGAACCAGACGTCCACCTCTAAAAGCTCCCTCACAGAAAGTTCCTACATGAAATGGTTATGAATTCACTGCCTGATGACTGAGACACTGTTTTATGATAGTTTAGAGAACTTAAACTCCATTCATGGTGGAGGGATACATGCAGGGCGCTGTGAGGCAAAATAGTCCCCAAAGAAAACGTATTATTTCAGATTTTCCACTATTTTCCATCATCAACATTCCATATAAACTCAGAAGACTCGTGTAGGTTCACTGGTGGTTCTGGATAGTAAATAAAATGTCTATATTTGTGTTGTAGTCATGGCGACCCCTGGTTCCTATCAGCACCACTGTAAAGACATCTGAACCATTTCACACCAAACCACTCTGAATCTCTCTGTTTACATCTCACACACTGAATGATGCAGAAATTCCGAAGAGATGGGTGGATTTCCCCTTTGAAAAAATAAAAAAAAATGGAAGCACAAACATTAAAACAGTGCAGATTTCGCAGGACAAGTTCACACAATCCATTCATCACAGTTGCAGTTATTGTGTTAAGTCTGAACACATTTCTATTTCTATTTCTGTTAAAGAGTTGAAATACGAATAGTGCCACATGCGAACTGACCCTGCAGCTGATTTTGGCCTTCGCAGGTCAGCATTTCTAAAAGTGTGTTTATTGTGTTTAAATGCTGTGTTTGTTGCGTCAGTTGTGCAGGACTGTTTGATATGAAGAAAGCTGCAGGTTCATCTCCGCACTGACGTCTTTGTGGAGAGGTGTGAATTGTTTTTCACAGCGGAGGGCTCCCACCCTTCCCTTTCACCACTTATTGCTCGGTAGTAGCTCAACAACATTCACAAAGAGAGACAACAAAAAAAGATAACAGAGTTACGGGGAAAATGTTTCATTTTTTTACATTAATTAAAAGCAAGCGAGACGAGTTCCATTCTGCCAGCAGAATGGCCACTAGGGGGCACTGCAGAAGGAGGTTACAGTCCAACAGTATCGTTATTTCAATGCGCAGGAGTGTCAGCTTGTTTGTAGCATGTATGTAGCAATACTCGTATCTCATCTACGCAACAACGTCGTAATTTTCTAAACAGTGAGATGGTCGACAATTAGGGATCCAAAATAATTTGTTTTTCTGAGGTTTGATAAGTTGAAACAGACAAAACGCCCAACTAGTGCCTCATTTAAAAATACCATCAACAACTATAAGTACAGTGTTTTGTACTTAGGAACTGTGCAGCACTGAATCCAGTTAAACAGTTTAGTTTTTGTTCGTAGCAAAATAACCTGTACAGAGATCAGCTCGCTGGTTTATTTATATACAGCACTGAGTAAAATTCAGAGCACTTCTCATTAAATTAACAGACATTCAGTACAAGTTACTCATTTTTTACTGTCAGATAAAAACATTAAACTAAAAAACACCCCCAACACTTAATGTACCAAATCTATCAGGATTTAGTTTGTTAACTTCTGCTGCCACTTTAACTCCTCAGTCCTTCCAATCTTCCACCCAAACAGTTCCAGCTGAGTTCTCCAACAAAAGCTGTTCTCACAAAACTCACTGAGAATCTTCTCAAAATGCAAATAAAAACAAAATGCAGTGATGTGCAGATCATTTAAACCCTATATTTCACAGAGTGCTGTTAAAGAAGAGGTGATGAAACAACTTTTTTGGAACATGTTCTTGACGTCAAATTCAAAATAGACATATATTTAAAAAAAAAAACCAATAAAATTTCTCAGTTTCAACATCTGATATGTTATCTGATAGTATTTTCCTTTAAAAATATGGTTTACATGATTTGCACATCACTGCATCCTATTTTTATTTACATTCTGCACAGCGTCCGAACTTTTTTGGAAATAGAGTTGTATTAGATTTAACTGTTGGGTCACTTATTGACCATTTGAGTGGAAATTAAATATATGTGCTCTCTGATTTTTGCACAGCACTGTATAATCTACATTTACTGATTTAGCTAAACGTTCTTTTACAATCTTTAAATTAAATTCTAAATACAGTCCATGACGCTTCAGAAGAGCCAGAACAGCAGCAGCACCTGAACACGATACCACGTGCACTGAGCCATCAGGAAGGTGATGGTCAGCAGGCCTTCAGTTTATGTGCTTGTGTGTTTACAGTTTGGTAGCCGGCCCGTTGTGAGCAGCAGGACTCACGGCTGATCCGTTCACATTTTCCTGGAAACACAGACAAATATATTATCACAGCTGCTTCAACAGTATAAATATGAAAAATCTTTCGTTTACTCTAATTTACCTCTCTGGGTAACTGAGTACAAACAAACAGACAAATACTGCATCATGAAAGCTGTGTTTATATATGGATACACGTATTAATGTGAGATGTCAGCAGTTATGTGAGTTACTTTAGTGAACACGGTACAGATGAGAGTAGTTAAGGAAAGACAATATTTCATAGCTGGGATGAGCACAAAAGAAACAAACAATGCATTTAAATGATATTTTTTATCTGTTTCTCATTAGGCTGAATGAATAACTGACTCTAAATGTAGGTATTGTGATATAAACCGAGTCTGTTCTACAGTTTCTCATTAGGCTGAATGAATAACCGACTCTAAATGTAGGTATTGTGATATAAACCGAGTCTGTTCTACAGTTTCTCATTAGGCTGAATGAATAACCGACTCTAAATGTAGGTATTGTGATATAAACCGAGTCTGTTCTACAGTTTCTCATTAGGCTGAATGAATAACCGACTCTAAATGTAGGTATTGTGATATAAACCGAGTCTGTTCTACAGTTTCTCATTAGGCTGAATGAATAACTGACTCTAAATGTAGGTATTGTGATATAAACCGAGTCTGTTCTACAGTTTCTCATTAGGCTGAATGAATAACTGACTCTAAATGTAGGTATTGTGATATAAACTGAGTCTGTTCTACAGTTTCTCATTAGGCTGAATGAATAACCGACTCTGAATGTAGGTATTGTGATATAAACTGATCTCATTAGTTAAATGGGATTTTTACCACTGCTCTCTAAAGCTTGTCCAGCCTCACAACAGCAGCTACGAAAGAACACATTTGTGGGCGGCATACGCAGTGAAATGGCAGTGAATCTGAATTAAGCTGGTAATAACTGCAGTGATTTTGAAGCTTAAATGTCTCAAAAAAAACATGCAGATTTAATATAAAGACAAAAAAGAAATCTGTTTCAATTTGGATGATATAAAGCTTTTCAGCTTTCACAGTCGGTACTGATTTGCCTGCAAAGTGCAAAGTGCTCATCACATTTCAAGCAAGCAGTTGCGCATCACTGAATCAGGGTCTGATTCCACCTACTATTTTCTATATTTTGCATTATATCTATACTGTATTGCTATTATAAGAGCTTTCACAGTGTTTGATTTGCTGCAATTCAGTGCAATGGCAAGTCCACAGTGACTCTGAAGCGTGCAGGAGCTCCTTATGTAATCAGTGTCTTGTTGTGCAGTGACTGCAGTGCGGCGTGTGGGATTTGGGTGCTAAGCTGTGGTACCTGTCCCAGTGTGCAGTGGTAAAAGCAGGCTGAGCAGTGATTACTGATCAGAAGTGTGAGGCGTTAATTGGAGCCGTGGCGCCGTAATCCTGACCCTCATGATGACCGGATGCAGCCTGACGGATGGGGCGGGGGGTGGAGGGGTGGAGGAGTAGTATGTTAAAGACATAGAGCGTCATACATCAACACAAGGAGCGGATGCTAGGCCTGGGCGATAAAGCGATAATAATGGAGATTTTCAGTAACATAACTGCTCTTCTGTGTTCCTGAATCTAATACTAGCAGCAAAAGCATGCAGTACACTGGGTGGCGCTGTTTGCCTTTTACTGCCTGTCACGTGTAAGCACGTATTCTGTTTTTTTTTGTGTTTGTGTCTCTCTCCCTCTCTCTCTTGGTCTCTTCCTTCATAGAGGTACCTGCTCTGGAACCAATCAGAGGCCTGGCTGGTGCAGTTGGGGGAGGAGCCTATGTTTTAAAAGAGGCCTTCAAGATGGCCGAAGAGAGAGGACTGATTACATGTGCTGTTTTAATCTCCTGTGTTGGGAGTGCTTTGTTTTGGGTATTTTACCAGAGCTTCTTTCAACTTAGTCTGCATGATTTTGTCTTTTATGTTAGAGGAAGTACTTCGGCTGCGGTGTTTTAACTTTTAACTTTGTTTCACAAGAGATTGTTTGTACCACCTGGGGTTTCAAACAGGTAAGAGGGGTGCGCCTATACATTTGCACCACGTAGATGTCTACTCTGTCTAGCTCCCTAGGTCAGAGGGCACCGCCACATGTGCTTTTGGTTACTGGCTAGGGAAGTTTAGGGTAGTTAGCTTTGGCTTCCTTTTTTTAGATTAGCTAAATACTTTTGGTTTCAGAGTAGATAAGCGTGGTTCGGTTTTGATATGTTCTTTTCTTTGGTGCTGTCCAGTTTGATTCTTCCAGTGTGGTACTGGGTATCACAGCACTCTGGTTTGATTGATGTTTGTTTTAATAAAAATGGCTCTAAAAGCTCTATTTTGGTCTGTTCCTCACGCTTCTAATCAATTCTCACCAGTTCAGTATTTTAATGCCACATGTTACCGATCCCACGTACCCTAGACAGAACGTGGGTTCGTAACACTGCCTAGTCGGGAGGGAGAAGATGTCCTACAGACAGCAACCCAAATGTTAAGAAGAGCCATTTTGTCCTTTCAACAAAAATCAAACCACCTTGGGAGCCTCAACACTTTATGTCTGTTTTACCATCTTAGCTGTAAGTATGTCTCAGTATGTGCTGAAGTACCAGTGTAGGCAACAATACAAATGAAGACAGACTTCTGAAGCTCAGCTGTAGCTGTAGTAGAATAACAGACTAACATTCGCTTCTCATTCACCAGCTTCTTGTTCGAATTTTCCCGTTCCACCTTAAATGGTGCATGAAGCGCCAGAACATAACTACTGTGCCTTGTTACTTTTTAGTGTTTCGGTTTCTCGTTGCAGATTAACTGTATCAGGAAACCAGTTGGAGTGATTAAAATGCAAATAAGTCCATTCGTCTCTAAATTATCGATGTTTGTCTTAAATCTTTCTCTTTGCCTTTTCATTGGCTACTAGCTAGGCGAGATCAGTTACTTTGATTTTCTTAATAAAAAACATGATTTGTAAAAAGACGCGTGACATTTGTTTGCCCTCGCTGGTATTTTGACTTGTGATTGGGCAATAGTTTGATCTACTGGAAAAGGTGTGAACTGCATTAAACTGTAGTTAACTAGCTGTAGTTTGATGATGGCAATTAAAGTATTTGTTTCCTAACATTTACTCTGATGCCAGATCACTTGCTGTGCTTCTCTGCTAATTCAGGCTGTATGAACACTCTGACCTGTTAACATCGACACTGAAATGAACAGCCACATGGTGTGAAACACTGAGCCTCGTTCAACAACCGTTCTGAAGAAGAAATTTCTTATTAAAACCCACTGACGCAGTTTTGACGAAGATTCTGACTCACCAATGTTCTCTTATGTGGGATTTGTTCTTAGGTAAGAACAGAATCTACACACACTCAAGAGCACCAAGGTGAGAACAGTTCTGCGCTTTAAGAACACGTCATGAATCTGACGTAGACTTTTTCTTAGGACCTTTTTTTTCAAGAACACATTTAAGCACAAATTAGGGAGATACTGGAGAAAGAGGCCCACTGTTAGCACGTTTGCAAACGGTGTGTGGCTACGTGGGAAACGTCACCAGCATTGGGATTAGCATACAATAGTTCTAAATAATAACTGTATATAAAAAATAACAATCAAATGATTTCTAAAATGACTTTTTCGACTGTATCGCCCAGACCTTGCGGATGATGCCACCACTGTGAATGCTAGTCTTTAAATTTAGGAAAATAATGTAAAAAAAACCAGTGATTTTTGAAGAGAAGAGAGTGAAATAAGAGCCAGAGCAGACAGAGACACTGACACAGTTGCAGGACACAGATTCTCACAGAGGAGGGAAGACAGCAGGACACAAACATAGGAATACAAATACATTCATATTCATACAGTCCTTTATGATGGACTGACAGTGCTTCACTCACCCGTACACACTCAAATCCTCTCAAACACACATGCACACTCACAATGACCCTGTTCACACCTGCTGTTAACATCCTGACTGGTCTGATCATAAAACAGTCAGACATTTAGCCACTGTGTACAACTGGCATTTCGAATGCATCTCCAGTGACCTGCTTATGATTGGATTTCTGATAATGACTGGATTTGGCGGCTGGAGGAAGAGCAGCACGTCAGTCTCTCACTGTGTTTGTTGTACGACCTGATTTAAATGTTTAGACTGAATGGGCGGCTAACAAACAGAAGAGGAGCTGCTGCACAGCTGTAGGGCCTGACTGATATATCGGTTGCCCGATAATATTGACCAATATTAGTGACCTGTGGTATTATTGGTTTCAGCTGACAATATCATCAATAACATTAATTAGCTTCTTTTTTTTGGTTGTGGCACAGCCGGGATTCGACCCCTGATGTCCCAATGACAGAGTAGAACCTGAGGCAGCTGCGTCACTGAGCAGCTCAGTTTAAGTCGCTCTCTGTTTAACTGTATGACAACAATACAGGCTGGACTGGAGAATCTGAACACAAAACAGTATCACTGTGTTAAAAAAACATACAGAATGCAACTCAGTCTCCACTTTAGAGTGAACATAATGTTATAATTAAAAAAAAAAGCTTTTTTATAAAGAGAATTAATGTAAATAAATAAATAAATAAATAAATAAATAAATGGATTGTGGGAAGCTCCGCCCTCAGGGCTTCAATATATTATTTCAGACTATGAGTTTCTGCTTTTTAGGCCCACATCTTACATTGTCCTGCTTTTCATGTTTCCTCCTTGAGGTCAATTTAACATCTGTGTGGTCTGAAAACAGTCTAATGATGTTACTGCGCCTTTAAGACTGATATATGTAAATGAGCTCTGTGCTTCGTTCAAAAAGCAGTCCGAGCTGAAACATTTCAGTGTGAACGGGCGGAGCTAAACGGCCGTAGGCTGAATGGGTAGGTCTATGTGAATGAGTTCTTTTTCGTGACATCACAAAAACAATGCACTCAAAACAGGCTTTGTTTCCATAGATGGACGGTATGTTCTGAGGAGCGAATGGTGCGTTTTAAAAACTTTAACAATCATTTAAAACAAGCATGGAACAGTCAGTTTTCCACTACAAGGGCCCTTAAAACGTGTGACAGTTGAGAACTGACAATTAAATTATCAGCCAGTAAAGCGCTATTTAAATAAAACTGTTGGAGGACAAAACAAATATTTAAACACAAATATAAAAATTGGCATCAGTCACAAAACGTTCACATCAGTCGGGCCCTACTCTGCCCTGATGATGCAGCTTTTAAGGCACTAATGTGTCCTTATCAGACGCTTCTTTAATGGCAGGCGTGAACAGGGCACACATGCCAAACACACACACGTGCTGTTAATTATGACACAGATTATTATTATTATTATTTTACAGTGTAAACACTGAATTGACATGATGTATCAGTGCATATGTGCCGAGTACTTACAGCTGTCTTGTCTAGCTGGTTAGCCCTCTGCCTGCGTAGATCAGACTTGATAAATCCTGAGAAAAAAAAACCCTTAGGTCAGACAGAACAGTGATATCTGAGCCTAATCAGCTTGTGCAGAGAATAAAGCATGCAGTCGGCTTCCTGTTTGCTGATGACTTAAGATGGTTGATCCCTTTCTGTAGGAGCTTTAGGTGGAACAGAGCAAAATCTTGTGCTTCCACTAACTGGCCACTTTATTAGAAACATTCACCTTGTGATTCCACTAACTGGCCACTTTATTAGAAACACCAACCTTGTGCTTCCACTCACTGGCCACTTTATAAGAAACACCCACCTTGTGCTTCCACTCACTGGCCACTTTATTGGAAACACCCACTTTGTGATTCCCCTAACTGGCCACTTTATTAGAAACACCCACTTTGTGTTTCAACTAACTGGCTACTTCATTGTAAACACCTACCTTAGTATCTACATCACTAAGCGACAATACCAAAGAATCTCACTCACAGAAAGAGCTGGAAACAGACAGACAGGCAGACAGAACGCTGTACCTGTTAAAATAGTCCCAATCAGCAGGAAAACACACAGAAAGAGGTTCCCTGCCAGGGTTCCAAAGCGATCAATGATCTTCCCCTGACAGATGGTGAAAATGATACCAAACACCTGCAAAACAAGAAATAACACAAATACAAACATGAATACAACATTAAAACAGCAAAATAAAGTAACTGAGTAAATAAACAAAGATTACATAAACATGATCGCAGAAGCTATTAAACTGGAAAGACCAAAGTTTTAGTCCACCGTGCTGGTCAGAATGGACACCAGCAGATGGCGCTGACTGACCCTCACAAAAACTTTCCGAACACTGAGACAAAGTTAAGGATGTTTTTATCTGAAAATCCTGCTGAACTCCTTCATAATGATGTACATTTAACGGCACAGCTTGTAAACAGAACAGTCCATGTGAAATTACTGACGGTCCCAAGACTGATCATCTCATATTCGCTTTCAGGAAACTACGTTACTGCGCCCAAAACGGTAGATTTACATATTGTGGTGGCCTTAATTTTTCTATTAAATAAGTACTTTGGAAAAAGGTGTAAACTTTGAGACGTCATTACAGGATGAGTCAAAAGACAGGAGCCACTAAAACATCTGTAATACACTTAATGTTAGATGGATTCCTCATTACTATTTCGTATTAAACTTATGGGTAACATACGTCATTTTGGATGGTGAGTAATTTACCACAGCAAGATTAACAGGGGAATTCCACCAAATCTTTCTAAATTTCTGCATAGTTAAATGGTTGAGACATAAACAGAGTCGTTCAGAGTGGTTTGGTGTGAAACGCTCTGTTCTAGATAAACTGACCGAGTCAGAATTGTTCACAGTGGTGGTGATAGGAACCAGACGTCCACCTTTAAAAGCTCCCTCACAGCAAGTTCCTACATGAAATGGTTATGAATTCACTGCCTGATGACTGAGACACTGTTTTATGATAGTTTAGAGAACTTAAACTCCATTCATGGTGGAGGGATACATGCAGGGCGCTGTGAGGCAAAATAGTCCCCAAAGAAAACTTATTATTTCAGATTTTCCACTATTTTCCATCATCAACATTCCATATAAACTCAGAAGACTCGTGTAGGTTCACTGGTGGTTCTGGATAGTAAATAAAATGTCTATATCTGTGTTGTAGTCATGGCGACCCCTGGTTCCCATCACCACCACTGTAAAGACATCTGACACAATGAACTGGAATGTAAATAGAAAGTCTGTATAATTGAATAGAAAAAGTGCTTTTCAGAATTACAGCACAGTAAAAAGGAAACATAATCAAGAGAATGGATCAAAATAGAGACAAATCATCTCCACAGGTCAGCACGTTTTCATAAACACATATAATCTTAAGGTGGTTTTGAAAATCTCTGTCTACCCTGGAATAAACCACTGAACACCAAGCACTCTTGCAATAAACACATACTTGCAGGTGCACAAACGTGCACAAACACACACACACACACCTGAGCAGAGCAGTTCAGCAGACCGGACGACGTTCCCTCAGACTCCGGATAGGTCAGCTCTACTGCAAACTCAAAGCCCAGAGGCAGATAGCCCGTCATAAAGAACCTGCAGAGGAGACGCAGTTCAGAAGATTTTACAATACAGAAACAAACATGAAAATCAAACAGGATCTGAAATTTTCAAAATCTGAAATATTCTGCTGGAGTTCTTAAACACTGTGTCCACTCACTGTCCACTCTATTAGACACTCCTACATTGTCAGTCCACCTTGTAGATGTAAAGTCAGAGACGATAGCTCATCTGCTGCTGCACAGTTTGTGTCGGTCATCCTCTAGTCCTTCATCAGTGGTCACAGGACGCTGCCCACAGGACACTATTGGCTGGATATTTTTGGTTGGTGGACTATTCTCAGTCCAGCAGCGACACTGAGGTGTTTAGAAACTCCAGCAGCACTGCTGTGTCTGATCCACTCAGACCTGCACAACACACACTAACACACTACCACCACGTCAGTGTTACTGCAGAGCTGAGAATGATCCACCACCCAAATAGTACCTGCTCTGTGAGGGTCTATGGGGGTCCTGACCACTGAAGAACAGGGTAAAAGGGGGCTAACAAAGTATCAGAGAAACAGACGGACTACAGTCTGTAACTGTAGAACTACAAAGTGCACCTATATAGTAAGTGGAGCTGATAAAATGGACAATGAGCGTAGAAACAAGGAGGTGGTCAGAATGTTATGCCTGATTGGTGTGTGTTTAAAAACAAGTGTCCATCCACATTAAAGAAAAAAGCAGAGAAACATATTTCACAAATATCTTTTTTTCTTTTTAATACAGATGCACTGATAATGGAATTGTGGGTCGATGCTGGCACGTTTTTTATGTGCGTATATGCCGATGTTGATTCATTAACATTTATAAACTGTGTAAATTAAGACTAAATCCACATGGATCAGCATTATTCATCATTATTATTATTATTACTATATTACACACTTATTTGTGTGTAATAAACATTGTGCAGATGTTTTAGTGCATATGAGTCTGAAATCAAAATCTAGACATCTGTTATATTATTCTGATACGTAATTCCGATATAATCGTGCATCCCGACCTTTTAATTCTTAGAAGTTTCAGTTGATGTCAGCGCTAAAAAAAAATCATGCTGAACTTTGATAAGAATTGTTTCTGCCTCACTGAAACACGTGGAGGAATGTATCACGATGTAAATTTGAGGAGATGTTACTGTTGTGTGTCTCGCTTTGGAGAAGGAAAAACATCCTTTACATTTTTGTTATGCTTTTTTATCACCTGACATTAAAACAAACAGAAAAAAGCCAGAACTGCAGACTCGAACCTGTTCATTCAGAATGTAAATGAGATGTAAACACAGCTTGCAACGTAAATAATTGTGTAAATATGCGATTATGTGTAAATAATTACATAATGTTGACTGAAATATATATTCAAATTAAAACAACAACTCTAAGGGTTACCGACAACAACAAGGCACTAATGTTTCAGATCATCACTGTTATCATTAAAATGAAAATAAAACAAAAACTCTGAAACGTGAGAGTTAATTACCCGAGAGCTCCAGCGGTGATGAAGACAACCCACAGATGACCCAGACTGAGGGTGAAGGCGTATACCAGCATGCCTGCCAGAGACATCACATACACCGCCAGAGTCGTCTGCCTGGGGGAGGATGGGGGGGGATGTGGAAAGGGAGATAAGTAAGCTGAAAAACACTCCACAGAACAGCACCATGTTCCAACTCGCAATATAAACACCGCTAATCTGTTCTAACAACCTGTTCCCGGATTATTTACTCTCTCTGACAGGGATAAACACACTCAGGGCATCATTCACAAAACACGGCCTGCTTTAGGATATTTACTGCCCGTCACAATTTACTGACACTTCTCACTTTTCTCTTTTCATCTTTAGATTAAATAAAAACTCCCCATGCAGGTTTAGCTCATCACATAGCAGGTCTGTGTTGATGCTTTGCATAGTTTTATCAAGTCAAGTCGAGAGGCTTTTATTGTCATTCCATCTATGTACAGTACACAGTGGAGCGAAATTACGTTCCTCCAGGAACAACACGGAGCCACAAGGAACAAAAAGTACAAAGTACAAAAATACAAAAGTACAAAGTGCAAACGTGCAGACAGTGTGCAAACAAGGATTAAGCTAGAAAACAATACAATAAATACAATAAATTAAACAGACATTAGACACAGTAAACAGACCAGACAGTGTAGCACCGACACAGCACAGACTTCTGGACATGAGGTAGTGGAATAAGGTGCAGACATTTTTAACGTGATGTGATCTGTAAGTTACGTCAGATAACATACCTATACATAGTTACTGAGGTAGTAAAACAGTTACAATTACTGAATAGTAAAACAGTTACTGAGGTAGTAAAAACAGTGCGCGTAGAGCATCAAAAAAGGTGTGTATAAGTGTTTAGTTCAGTCCTCGTGAGTTTAAAAACCTGATCGCTTGAGGGACAAAGCTGTTGCTGAGTCTGGCAGTGATGGCACGGATACTCCGGTACCTTCTGCCAGACGGCAGCAGTGAAAAAAGTCTGTGTGAGGGACGGATGGGGTCATTCATGATGCTGGTGGCTTTGCGGATGCAGCGTGTGGTGTAGATGTCCATGATGGAGGGGAGAGAGACCCAACACTCTCAGAAATTCTTGTCTAAATAATGATTGGACAGTTTTCTTTTCCAAACTATTGTTAAAAGCACAGATACACACACGTTTTAAACACCTGAAATGTTTGAGTGCTGACATCAAAACAAGGGGATAAGATGAGTAGACCTGAGTGAATTCACTGCCTGAAGTCTGAGACATTATTTTATGACAGTTTTGAGTTGATTTTGGTCTAAGACATATTTTTTAACGGTTCAGTGCGTAAGATTTAGTGCCATCTAGTGGTGAGGTTGCAGACTGCACCCAGCTGAATCTCCCTGCCTTTCCAAGCGTGTAGTAGAACCTGTAGTGGCCCTCAGGATTTCTGCTGTCGTCTGTCCCAGTTTCATTTCGCTTCTTCATGTTTTCTCTTTATTGATGGTGAGGATTCGCCCTCGAATTCGTTCTCAAACTTCTCACAACACAGTTAGCAGCACCGGCAGCAGCCACTGATTCTTCTTCTTTCTATGTCTTCCAACCGGAGCAACAGCGCCACCAAATGAAAGCTGCCGCTTCAGCGTAAAAGCCCGAAAGGCGCCCTCTAGAGTCAGAGTTTGGTTTGTCCATTCGGGGTTACTGTAGAAACATGGTGGCAGCCTCTGTCAGAAGAGGAGCTGCTCACTATGTAGATATGAAGGGCTCATTCTAAGATAACGAAAACATGATTATACATTAATGAAAACATGGTTTTGTTTACTATATTCCATTAAAAATAAGTAAACACATCCTCTATAGAACAAATATGACATACTGACATCCAAATATAGCATTTTAGGGCAACTGTAGTGCACAATTTATATTTATTTATGGAGTTTAACATATTGACAACAATAAATATAAAATACAAAATGTGGCGTAACATTTCCACTGGCCACATTTTATGTTTTATTTTCTCTCAATATGTTAAATTCAGCAAATAGACAGTAATTGTGTATTAAAATGCATGTACAACTATAGATGTAGGGCGCTGTGTGTGTTGTAGCCATGGCGACCCCTGGTTCCTATCACCACCACTGTAAAGACATCTGAACCATTTCACACTAAACCACTCTGAATCACTCTGTTTACATCTCACACACTGAATTATGGAGGAATTTTGAAAAACTGTTGAAAGTCCCCTTTAAAGCTGTACAGCAAGTCAAACAGCCCAAACAGTATTATTCAGAGTAATGGCCACATAAACATCATCATATAACATCAACACAACACGTCTCCTGTGTATGGTAATAATAATTGTGTGTGGAGTTCATACAGCAATATGCAAAAGTCAGAGACCCCCTTCATTTCTTTAATTCCAGGAAAAAACAACCATTATGAACAAGTTATGTATTTTCAGTACCAGGAAAAACATCAGAAAACATATTCAATACAAAATTACCCAGAAGCCTCAGCAGCTAAATCTACTCTCAGCTGTGTGAGTCAGTGAGTCCCTCTGTCCCTTTATTCCAGCTTCCATTCTGTTCAGGAGACTCACTTTCAGTTCCTCAAAGAATCTGCAGACACACCTCCAAAGTTCAGTCTTAGAAGCTGGTTGATCATTTTCTGAAGTAATCAAACACATTCAGTGGTGTTGAGGTCTGGACTCTGGGGTGGTCAGTCCATCGTTCAGCTTCTTTGTTTGATGTGTCCGTCTCCTTTTCTCAGTGAGGTTCTTCTTGATCAGCTACACATCCTTTCAGACCCACAGCGCTGAGTCGTCTTCTCACAGTGGAAGGATGGACAGAAACACCTGTGGATGTTTTCAGATCTGAAGCAGCTTGATTTTCTCCTCTCTCTCAGAGATGAAAGCTTTAAGTGCTGTTTATCTGATGGGGGCAGTTCTGAGGGCCACCAGGTCTTCCAGGTGGTTGTTAGGAGGCCCAATTTCTCTGTAGCATTTAATCAGTGTTTATCTTATATTTAACCTCAGAAACATCTCCTGAAAATGAAGAACATGTTGCTGTTTTGACTGGAAATTAAAAAAAAATAAAAGATGATCTCTGACTTTTGATTCTTGGTTAATCAGAGTTTCAAAGATGTGTTCGAGAGATCAAAGGTCAGGAGTCAGAGTGATCTGACAGTGCTGCCATCTGGACAAACAAAACTGAACAAGTAACACGCAGAGATCTAAATGACGGCCAAACACACTCACTCACTCACTCACACACACTCCTGCACGCTCAGCTGAAACGTGTGAGGTTGTGGAGTTGAAGTCCCAACTGATAATAACCTCAGAATCATGACTAAATCACACCTGACTTTAGCTTCACTGGGACTAGATTCGTTTTAGCTTTATGTTCTGCAATTTAATGAATCTGCAGTGTGTGTAGTTTTACAGTCTGACTGTAATAATTGTGGAGTGATTTTAATCCAGTATGAATCTGCAGTGTGTGTAGTTTTACAGTAATAATTGTGGAGCGATTTTAATCCAGTATGAATCTGCAGTGTGTGTAGTTTTACAGTCTGACAGTAATAATTGTGGAGTGATTTTAATCCAGTATGAATCTGCAGTGTGTAGTTTTACAGTCTGACAGTAATAACTGTGGAGTGATTTTAATCCAGTATGAATCTGCAGTGTGTGTAGTTTTACAGTCTGACTGTAATAATTGTGGAGTGATTTTAATCCAGTATGAATCTGCAGTGTGTGTAGTTTTACAGTCTGACAGTAATAATTGTGGAGTGATTTTAATCCAGTATGAATCTGCAGTGTGTGTAGTTTTACAGTCTGACGGTAATAATTGTGGAGCGATTTTAATCCAGTATGAATCTGCAGCGTGTGTAGTTTTACAGTCTGACGGTAATAATTGTGGAGCGATTTTAATCCAGTATGAATCTGCAGTGTGTGTAGTTTTACAGTCTGACAGTAATAACTGTGGAGTGATTTTAATCCAGTATGAATCTGCAGTGTGTGTAGTTTTACAGTAATAACTGTGGAGTGATTTTAATCCAGTATGAATCTGCAGTGTGTAGTTTTACAGTCTGACAGTAATAATTGTGGAGTGATTTTAATCCAGTATGAATCTGCAGTCAATCCTACAGGGTTCCTGTTACAATTTGTTAATGACACACAAAACCTGCTGATAGATGTGGCAGTGTGGCATGTTGTATTGTTTTCTATGGACGCGAATGCTGATGTGAAGATCCAGGCTATGACCTTTCACTTTAGGTTTTCTGTGGGAATTTGGGGAAACTGCATAGACATTATATCCCGATCCAATCCTACACATTACATTAGTAATACTAATCCATGGCCAACAGTGCCAGTTATCAGTGATTATGTTTAGGATCCTCTGCAGTCTTACGACAGCACGCCTGGCTGAAGTGAAGTGTCCTTTCTTACTTGTATGTTTTGGTTCTGTCCAGCCAGATGCCACAGATCAGCGAGCCGGCCATGCCAGCTATAACGATGGTCAGACCGATCCTTCCAGCATTCACTTCTTCACCCTGAAAACAGCAGCAGCACATTCACTCACCCCAGCAAAAACACCTGCACCGATCAATTATTCAGGCTTTACAGTGGTGGTGATAGGAACCAGGGGTCGCCATGACTACAACACAAATATAGACATTTTATTTACTATCCAGAACCACCAGTGAACCTACACGAGTCTTCTGCGTTAATATGGAACGTTGATGATGGAAAATAGTGGAAAATCTGTGTAAAGAGTTTAGCTGATCGTCCACTGCACCGCCTGCACATCCCACTGACACTAACCCAAACTGAGTCTGTGTGACTGTAGCTGTGCCTGGAGGAAATAACTCACCCGTGGCACAGATTCCTGCCTTTAATACCCTCAAGGCTGAGGTCAAAGGTCAAGAGACATACATCAAAAAGAGGAGGCCTCAGTTTAAGGCATGGGTTACCATTCTTGTCCACAAAGGACCAGTGTGGCTGCAGGTTTTCATTCAAGCAAGTAAAACTTGATTCTACTCGTTTAAACAGTTGATTAGTTATGAGCTCCAGCCACACCGGCCCTCGGTGGATAAGATCAGTGACCCCAGGACGTCTACAGTGGCATTTTACAGCTGACCATCCAGTACACTCTTAAAAAAGATAGTTCTTCAAGGATTCTTTGGGAAAGAAAATGGTTCTGTACAGAACCATAAACACCCAAAGAACCCTTTGCATGATTAACTGTTCTTCACATTATATAAGAGTTCCTCAGATTGATGGAAAATGTGCATGAATGTGCTATAAATGGTTCTATACAGAACCTTTTTGAAAAGGGTTTTATATAACACCAAAAAGGGTTCTTCTACTGTTATTATGTCAAGATTGTAACAATAGAAGAACCCTTTTGGGTACTATATAGAACCATTTACAGCCCATTCTCAATCAACGATTTCACAATGCAAAGAACTGTTTAATCATGCAAAAGGGTTCGAGTGTTCATGGTAATGTTCTCTTATTTGGGATTTGTTCTTAGGTAAGAACAGAATCTACACAAACTCAAGAGCACAAAGGTGAGACGTGATGAATCTGACGTAGACTTTTTCCCCTTAAACACTACATGGACAAAAGTATTGGGACACCTACACATCACACCTACAGGAACTTCTATGAATCCCATTCTGAATCCATAGGCATTAATATGGAGTTGGTCCCCCTTTGCAGCTCTAACAGCTTCCACTCTTCTGGGAAGCTTCCTAGAAGATTTCGGAGAGCATTTGTGAGGTCAGACACTGATGTTGGACGAGAGGGCCTGGCTCACAATCTCCGTTCTAGTTCATCCCAAAGTTGTTTGATGGGGTTGAGGTCAGGGCTCTGTGAGGGCCAGTCAAGTTCTTCCACACCAAACTCACCCAGACAGGCCTTTATGGAGCTGCTTTGTGCACTGGGGCTCAGTCATGCTGGAACAGAGAAGGTTCTTCCCCAAACTGTTCCCACAAAGCTGGAAGTGTAGAATTGTCCAAAATGTCTTGGTGCTGAAGCATTAAGATTCCCCTTCACTGGAACTAAGGGTTCTAGACCAACCCCTGAAAAACAGCCCCATATCATCATCCCTCCTCCACCAAACTTTACAGCTGGCACAGTGCAGTCAGGCAGGTAACGTTCTCCTGGCATTCGCCAAACCCAGACTCGTCCAGCAGACTGACCGATAGAGAAGCTGATTGGTCACTCCACAGAATACGTTTCCACTGCTCCAGAGTCCATGAGCCATGAAGCTCCTGGTGCAGTTTCTGTGCTGATGTTGAGGCCAGAGGAGGTTTAAACTCTACAGTTATTGATCAGCAGAGTGTTGGAGACTTTTATGCTCTGTGCTCCTCAGAGCTCGGAGACCCGCCCTGTAACTTTACATGGTCTGACACTTCATGACTGAGTTGCTGTGATTCCTAAAAACGTCCTCTTTTCAATAATACCCCTCACAGCTGATCATGCAATATCTAAGTGGGAAAAATTTCATGAACTGACTTGCTGCAATGGTGGCATCTATTACAGAACCACGCTCGGATTCAGTGAGCTCTTTAGACCCATTCTTTCACTAACGTGTGTAATGGCAGGCTGCATGGCTGGGTGCTTGATTTTATACACATGTGGCAATGAGACTGTATGAAACACCTGAATTCAACGAGGTGTGTCCCAATACTTTTGTCCGTATAGTGTATTTCAAAAGGTGAGCAAATTTGGATGCAGATAACTTGACAAGAAATTAGATAAGTAGGTTATTATTGAACAAAATAAAAAAGTATTAGTACAGCAAAACAAGCTGTCCGTCATTGATTGAAGACAGTGGATTTGGAGGCGGGACTTACTGGATAGTGCTTAATGATCATTTGGTTGAGCAGCGTACTGACGGCGTAAAAACAGCCAACGTTTAACCCTGAAAGAGACAGAACAGGACGAGAAGCCAAACAGAGAGCAGGGAAAAACATACAGAACAGAATGAGTCATTATACTTTAATACTTCTTAGCTATTTATACACTGTATTTCTTCTACAGTTAACCTTTTTTATGTACTCCTGTTCACATTCAGTTCATGTTCACTGACATTTCGGACTGTGTTGTCGCTGTGAGTGAGCTGCTCCAAACAGAAACGCAGAGGGTGAAGACTAATCATTGATTAGAGGAGGAAGTGATTTGAGTTTTATAGTTTTATTATCTTATTTCCCTACTGCTGATTAAGAGTTCCCATAAAATCAAAACGACCCTAAATAACCTTAATATTCTGTATCATTACCGCTGAAAATTAGCTGAATACTATCCTAATTAAGACTGGGTATTAAAAACCAATGCTTTTTTGGCAAATTACTTCAGCACTACAGAGTATCGAAAAATTACATCATTCAATACCAAATGTGAATACCTACTCAGTGAGCCAATAAGCGGGCTTGTTCCAAAATCTAGAGAGCCTAAATTACACTCCGTATTAATAACAGCAGTTCTCAATTAGTCTGCAGTCCGTTTATAGTAAATACACCTGCATTTCACACATCCGCCTTTCAGTATGTCGTGGTATCAATATCTGAAAAGGGTTGATCAATACTCAGCCCTAATCCTCATATGAATTTTGGTTTTATTTTACTCTATTTTATTGTGTGCCTATTTGCTTATGTGTGTTTTATGACATTAATGCGTGATGCTGTTTTTAATGTGGGTTGCATTATTATGTTTTTGAATATCTCACTCTGAATGACATCAAAATCGCAAAATTAAGCAGCAATTTCTTTAAAAATAGGTGGAATTCCCTTTTAAATAAGGAGGCATAAATGAATGAAGAATAATACAGAAAAACCACAAACATATTCAGGGTATGTTGGACACTGCTGTGCAAAGTGAGTTTAGATCACGAGCTCTTGAGTTTCATGTATCTCAGTTTCAGTTTTCTCCTCCAGTCTGAGGTCGACTCTTACCAGACGGCTCACGGTTAAGAAACTGAAGGTTCGGCCCACCCAAAACAGCAGTCCTGGTGCTGCTAAGGCTCTGTGGTGGAGGCAGGTCTTCATTCAGAAACAGAATAATCCTGTAAATGAGTAACAGATATGGCGCTGTACCGTAGCTGATGATGAGGAGGATGAAGGGTCTGTTGCGGAGGAGGCAGAGGATGGAGGCTGTGTAGGAGTAACTCTCCGCCGGGATCAGACGAGCTGCGGCCTGAGCCTGAGTGGGGGGGATATCCGGCCTTTCCTGAAACACTGAGGGAGAGAGAGACACAGGGTGAGAGACACAGCTGGGTGACTTGGGGTCTTTCTAGAGCACCACGGCTCCACAGATGGTCATATTTATTTTACTGCAGAGCTCTACAGGGAGAGAGCCGTCCTGCAGACACGCAGCAACACGGCAGCACCAGCGGACTCAACTGTCCCGTCAACAGCTTCAAACAAACGTTTAAAGTGTAAAGAAAACACTTAATCCAAACGAGCGGACCTTTGAAGCCCAAACCCCCAAAGCTTTCAGCAACGGGACGGCCGGAACCCCCAAAACCTTTCCGGTGGTCACTTGATCAAAAAATAACCCAGCAGTGTCAGGCCTCAGGCCTGGCTGACCACGACACCACATATAGGAAAATAGAGAAAGTGCAGTACTGTGCAAAAGTCAGAGACCACCCTTCATTTATTCAATTACCAGTTAAAAGTACAAATTCTATATCTTTCAGTAGATGTGTGTGAGGATATTAGATATAAGACAACCCACTTGCATGAGGAAGAGCAAAGTCAGCGGAAAATACGTGGAAAAAATTGGAGTTCAAGAAATGACTAAAAGCTACAGAGAAAACCAATCAATCAATCAATCAATCAATCAATCAATGCACACTGAGGGAGACCCCAATTTCCAATGTTGCTGAGCCAATACAGAAATGAGGGACTGAAAAATTAAGATTAGAAAAGTATTGTAATGCTAAAAAATTAGAAAAACTATTATAGTGGTACATTTTATAGTAAAAATCAATCAAATCAGAATAAACCATTAAAATAGCTAAAATAAAATTTAATAGCAGATCAAATAGGGATAAAATAATGAAAAACAGTTTATAAATTAAAAACAGAAAATGTAAAGCAATATTCCAGCATTAACTAAAATATAAGAAGTTGATAATAAAATAAATAAAAATAATAATAAATGTAAAATGAATGCATAACTAAAACATACTAAAATCATATTAAAAGCTAACTAAAACTACAATTGCAGGCTGAGTGAAGGTGGTTAAAACGAAAAGATCAAAATGTTCACGCGACACAGCTTTTGGAGTTTCCTATAAAACCTGCAGACCACAGGAACTCTCCATCAGATAAACAGCACTGGTGGGTAGAAGATTCCATTACTTGTTAGCTACATTAGCCTTGCTGCTTCAGATGCATCAAACATGCCTTGGCTGATGGATCACATCTGGGGTCAGAGAGGAAAACATTGGTCATTTTTTCCAAACTATCGCTTTTAAAGTAGAAAAGCAGAACATTGTGGACAGTGGCAGTAAGGTACTCTACAAGGCCACAATACAGTGTTTCTTTGCTGTAAAAAAAACGAGTCAATGCGAGGTAAGGCTGCCAGGTTGGAATGTATTTTCATTGCTAAGTAACCGACTCAAATAAATGAACCAAAGTATTAATCATGTATGCTTTCATATATTTAATTTCCACTCAAATGGTCAATAAGTGACCCAACAGCTAAATCTAATACAACTCCATTTCCAAAAAAGTTCGGACGCTGTGCAGAATATAAATAAAAATAGGATGCAGTGATCTGCAAATCATTTAAACCATATTTTTAAAGGAAAATAGTACAAAGACAACAAATCAAATGTTGACACTGAGAAATTTTATTGTTTTTTGAAAAACATGTGCTTCATTTTGAATTCGATGCCAACAACACATTCCAAAAAGTTGGGACGGGGGCCTGTTTACCACTGTGTTTCATCACCTCTTCTTTAACAACACTCTGTAAGTGTTTGGGAACTGAGGAGACACTGCTGTAGTTTTGAAAGTGAAATGTTTTCTCATTCTTGTTTGATACAGGATTTCAGCTGCTCATCAGTTCAGGGTCTCTATTGTTTTTCATTTCATAATAAGCCAAATGTTATCAGTGGTGACAGATCTGGACTGCAGGCAGGTCAGTTTAGCGCCTGGACTCTTTTAATACATAACAATGCTGTTGTAATACATGCAGAATGTGGTTTAACATCGTCTTGCTGAAATAATCAAGGCCCTCCCTGAAAAAGACGTCATCTGGATGGCAGCATATGTTGCCAAAACATGTATATATCATTCAGCATTAATGGTGCCTTCACAGATGTGCACGTCACCCATACCATGTGCACTAATGCCCCCCTGTACCATCATGGATACTGGCTTTTGAACTGTGCACTGATAACAAGCTGAGTGGTCTTTAGCCCAGAGGACATAGTGTCCGTGATTTCCAAAAAGAATTTCAGATATTGATTTGTCAGACCAGAGGACACTTTTCCACTTCCCTTCAGTCCGTTTTAAATGAGCTCCAGCCCAGAGAAGGTGGCAGCGTTTTTATATTTATATTTATTTTTTATATTTATATTTGTTTTAACTTGCATTTGGATGCAGTGATAAACTGTGTTCACAGACAGTGTTTTTCAGAAGTGTTTCTGAGCCCATGCAGTGATTTCCACTACAGAATCATGTCTGTTTTTAATGCAGTGCTGCCTGAGGGCCCAAAGATCACGGCCAGCTAATACTGGTTTTTGGCCTTGTCCCTTACATACAGAGATTTCTCCAGATTCTCTGAATCTTTTAATGATATTTTGTTCCATAGATGATGAAAAGCAGAAGTTCTTTGCTATTTTATGTTGAGAAACGTTATTCTTGAATTGTTGCTCTATTTGATGGTGCAGTCTTTCACAGAGTGGTGAACCCCTCCTCATCTTTACTTCTGAAAGACTCCGCCTCTCTGAGATGCTCTTTTATACCCAATCATTTTACTGACCCGTTGCCAGTTAACTTTCAGGTCTTCTTAAGCATTACACAACTTTACCACCTTTTTGTTGCCCCATCCCAAATTTTTTTAAATGTGTTGGCATCAAATTCAAAACGGGCAAATATTAAATTCACAGTTTCAACATTTGATATGTTGTCTTTGTAGTAGGTCCAATGGTATACAGGGTTTAAATGATCTGCACTTCATTTCATTTTGTTTTTATTTACATTTTGCACAGCATCCCAACTTTTTTGGAAATGGGGTTGTATATACAGCTTATTTTTCGCCTTTCAGCCTGTATTCTGAATAAAACCCTGTACTGCACACACCAGCAGGAAGCTGTACACGCACACACTGGTGAATATGTAAATGTGAGAAGCTGCCTCGGTGGAATGCGTCTGTGACAGATGTGTGTCTTCAGACTGAAGGGACATTCACACCATTGCCTTTAAGGGACAATAGCTTTCCATTCATGTGACACCAGAGATGTGACTCAACTGTTTCGCAAGAGCTCCGTGGCTTCGCCTGCTGCTGCGTCAGGAGGAATGCGACATATGCATCATGTGCAACTGCTAGCATTTTACGACAAACGTGGGCAGGGAGGGGACGAGAGACAGAGACAAACTGCTGACTGAGAGAGTGAGAGAGAGAGAGAGAGAGAGAGAGAGAGACAGCACCTTTTGTAATGATCAAGATTTTAGTGAGTAAATGTTATAAGGTGCCACAAAACGTTCTATGAGCGGTACCATAGAAGAACCACTTTTGGCTCCTTAAAGAACCATGTTTGAAAAAGAGATTTGTAGGTGTGAAGAATATTATAAAGGCGTAAAGAACCTTCACATAATATAAAAGTTCTATACCAATTTACGTTCTTCTTAGAACCTTTATATTATGTGAAGGTTCTTTAAACACCTCATTTAGAAGAATGGTTCCATCTATTGAAAGCTTTTTCAGGAAACCACAAACAGTTCCTCTACAGCATTATGCAAATAACCCTTTGTGGCACTTTTTCTTCAAGAGTGTAGTTTCTGGCAAACTAAACATGGCCAAGCCAATCAAGCTGATTAAATATAACTGAACTAAATTGAACTGAGAGAGAGAGAGAGAGAGAGAGAGAGAGGAATGAAGGGAAAACAGCCTGTAGGTGAGGAAGGAATGTCCAGCATTACCTCTCCACCCAACTCAAACAGAACTGCCCTCTCCAGTCTCTGCTCACAAATGTCTATCTTTGTAGCTACTGTGGTGAGGTTGGACAAATTAACAGAACTCTGGTAAAAATTCCATTTAAATGGGATTCTCATTGGGTTGAATGAATAACTGACTCTAAATGTAGGTATTGTGATATAAACTGAGTCTGTTCTACAGTTTCTCATTGGGTTGAATGAATAACCGACTCTAAATGTAGGTATTGTGATATAAACTGAGTCTGTTCTACAGTTTCTCATTGGGTTGAATGAATAACCGACTCTAAATGTAGGTATTGTGATATAAACTGAGTCTGTTCTACAGTTTCTCATTAGGCTGAATGAATAACCGACTCTAAATGTAGGTATTGTGATATAAACCGAGTCTGTTCTACAGTTTCTCATTGGGTTGAATGAATAACCGACTCTAAATGTAGGTATTGTGATATAAACTGAGTCTGTTCTACAGTTTCTCATTGGGTTGAATGAATAACCGACTCTAAATGTAGGTATTGTGATATAAACTGAGTCTGTTCTACAGTTTCTCGTTAGGCTGAATGAATAACTGACTCTAAATGTAGGTATTGTGATATAAACTGAGTCTGTTCTACAGTTTCTCATTAGGCTGAATGAATAACTGACTCTAAATGTAGGTATTGTGATATAAACTGAGTCTGTTCTACAGTTTCTCATTAGGCTGAATGAATAACTGACTCTAAATGTAGGTATTGTGATATAAACTGAGTCTGTTCTACAGTTTCTCATTAGGCTGAATGAATAACCGACTCTAAATGTAGGTATTATGAAAGAATGCATTTGTGGGCAGAGCATGGACAGAACAATTAAACATGGGTCCTGCTTACCAATGATCACCAGGATGAAGAGGAACGTGGCCACGCCTGCTGTGATGTAGAACATGACTCTGATGTGACTGGCCAGCTCGTCCATGTCTTCAACATTTGGAACCAGAATGGGTGGCACCAGGAATCCAATGGCAATCCCAAGCTGTTGGGCGGGAACAAGCAGAACAGGTCAGTATGACTGAATCAGTTCAACTGAATTTACAATCTCCATAGAAAAGTACTGACCGATAGAATGGCATTCCCTGGAGCAGCTACACATAAGTCTAAGGTCACCATGGGGTATAAAGCCCCCCAGTATTGGGCTGTGGAGCAGTGGAACAGTGTTCTCTGGAGTGATGGAGCTCCATCCACGACCTTTGGGATGAGTTGGAGTGATCCAGAACTGACCATCCAACATCAGTACCTGACCTCACTAATGCTCAACCAAGTTCTCACAGCAATGTTCCAACATCTAGTATAGAACCTTCCCAGAAGAGTAGAGGCTGTTACTGCAGCACAAACTCACTATTAACACCTTCATTTCAGAAGAAACGCTGAGTCTACAAACTTTTGGACATAATAATATATTTATTGAGCTTTTGAGAAGATTAACAATATTCTAGGCTGAAGCCAAAGTTCATCCTTAATCCATAATTTAATATGCAGGTACTTGCTGTGAAAACTGTTTACAGGAATTTCGCCAACAATCAGCAGGAAATCGAGCTATTGTTTTAGTGAATTAGCACTCACGCGATCCTGTGGTTTTGGATGAGGAAGCGAATGCTGCAGCCTCACAGCAAGGCTGAACTTCAGCCTACAAGATCTTGGCCGAGAAACAAACTCCATAAGGAGTGAATGGTGGAGCAGCAGTAGCCTAACCGTATGCCAGGATCTTAAAATCTCTGCTAATTACAAGGAAAAACAGAAAATCTCTCAGTCGCCACCGTCACACAAATTCAATAACCCTTTCTGTATAAGCCTTCATGTAGTAATTGTACTGGTTTAATGCAAATCAAAAAATTACAATGACTCAAAAAATCATTCATTCAAAGTATGTATGTAGGTTGAATAAAACTAGTTAATTTACTTATCATGAAGTAATTTTTTTAGGTTGATCCAACAAACCATTTTTTACAGTGGGAGACGACTTTCATTAAGAATCCAAACTACCCTATACGCCCCCTTAAATTCACATACTGTGAAAAAAGCCAGAGACCCTTCATTAATTTAATTTCCGGTAAAAAAGCCATTAAGTACATGAAGTTCTTTACTTTTCAGTTGATATTTCTGTGGAGATTAGATTCAGGATAATCCACTTGTATTAAGAAGATTCAGATCTACAGAGAAAATGTGCCTCCTAACAGCACTTAAAGCTTTCATCTCTGAGAGAGAGGAGAAAATCAAGCTGCTTCAGATCTGAAAACATCCACAGGTGTTTCTGTCCATCCTTCCACTGTGAGAAGACGACTCAGCGCTGTGGGTCTGAAAGGATGTGTAGCTGTCAAGAAGAACCTCACTGACGCAAAGAAGCTGAACGATGGACTGACCACCCCAGAGTCCAGACCTCAACACCACTGAATGTGTTTGGTTACTTCAGAAAATCATCAACCAGCTTCTAAGACTGAACTTTGGAGGTGTGTCTGCAGATTCTTTGAGGAACTGAAAGTGAGTCTCCTGAAAAGAATGGAAGCTGGAATAAAGGTAAAGTAAGTGACTCACTGAATACTGAGACATCGAATATGATATTTAGTTTTGTGTCATTTTCTGTTAAATATGTTTCCCGACACTAAAAAAATGAATGACTACCTAAAGACCGTTTGGCATCCTGAAGTGTTTACACACCTGGTTCCCCAGCACTCCAATGGAGCAGGCAGTGGACACCTCTTTCTCTCCGAACCACAGCGAGGCAAGACGGGGTGGAACCCCGAGGATAAACACCATGGCCACTGAACAAACAAACTGGCCGAAAAAGGCGACTGGGAACAGGTCCGGTTCCACTCCGCCAAGTTTGACCCATGAGCCCACGCAGTTAAATGTAGCGCCGATCAGCACGGCCTCCCTGAGCCCACGGACGTCCATCAGCCACATCCCCGGGACAATCAGCGGCACATACGTCAGCATGAAAATCATGGAGAGCCAGTCGATGGCCAGAGCGTCCACGCTGTAGAAGCGCATGAAGATGTTGCTGATGATGCCATACTGTAGCCACATCAGGGCATTGCTGGTTGAACAGAAGCTGAAGAGCAACAGCATGATCCAGCGCCGGGTGTACAGCTTGGTTTCTGCTTTGGGCATCAGCTCTGCAGTGTCCAGCTCCATGGGACAAAGTGAGTGGATGCTATGTGGAGGTCCATCGCTCCAGCATTGACCATGAGGAGGTTTTGGACACTGAAGAAGCCCATGACCCTCACTAGAGGTGCCTCGATCAGCTGGATTTGAGACGCGAGAGGTTTCAAGCCCAGACTGTATACCACGGCCTCGGGTCACTACGTCGTGGCTTTGATGCATAGTGCCCTTTCTAGAAACTTGAGCTGATACACCGGTCTACCTGTTTGGTATTCAATTCAAAGTCAAATCAACTCAGGACAAGTCTGCTGGTCATCGAAGTCTCTGAGCTCCGTCCATCCATTCTGCTATTTATCGCTACAAGCACTGTCATTTGACTCTCTTGGAAAGTCCCACCTCTCCAAAGATGGTGGACCTTCATGCATATTAAAGAAAGTGTCCAGTCATGGAGGACAGAGGTTTCTGATTGCCACCTGCTTAATATTCAATCTAAAATCAAACTAACTAACTAGCTAGCCGGTTTGCAGGCCACCTAATAAGCACACTCAGAATGATTTCTCTGTTTCTGATGTGGTTAGATATCTGAGCTCCGTCCACCCATTCTGCTATTTACCATTGCAAACTCTGTCACTTGACTTTTCTCAGAAAGTCCCACCTCCTCCAAAGACAGTGGACCCTCATGCAAACTGCAGAAAGCGCAGTTCCCAGGCATAACAGTGGGAAACCGAAAGATTTTCTAATAAACTTGTCCATATCCTGAAGTGGTTTGGTGGAGTAGTTTTCATCTTCAGAGATGAGCGAGCTTCATGAGAGCTGCAAGCTTTTTGTGAAGTCAGTTTTCCTCTGTTGCCTTTTGGTCGTATCGGCCACAGTGTTATCCAGCAAATAATGTGCAAACTGGACACATGGGAACATTAAACACACTCTCCAGTTCCGCTCTCCAGCTGAGTGGGACAATACTGGCAATGGATTAAAACCACAAGGTCACATCAACAACCTTGCTCTAAACACAGCAGGACAGTCCAGTCCGAAGCACCACGAGAGGCCAGGAGGTTGAATATGAACCCAAACACACTTGACCAACTCAGTCTGAAAATAAACTGGCTGCTAAATATGTGCACTTTGCGTATTTTATCTGTTTCTGACAATTTCTGCTTAAAATGGGGATTAAAATTGTATGATACCGATAAACCAAAATAAACAAACCCAACAGTACTGCCAGTTAGGGGTGCAGTGATATGGGAAATGTAGGCCGATAAGTAAAATTTTTTATGTACCTATCTGCCAATGACGATGCTGATACATAAACATTTAGAAAATACGGACATTGGGACTATCTGGATTTACATTAGGATTGCATATTTATGGACGTAAAATATAATGTTTGATAAAGCTGTTGGTTAAATAGCACAAATTCTGATGAAAATCTGACTGAATGCGCAGCAAGTACAAACTTTTTTCAGGCTGTGTAAACCTCTCCATTAAGCAACCAGCAAAAAACACAAAAGTAGTACACAATTACAACAGCACCATTCACTATATGGACAAAAGCATTGGGACACACCTCGTAATCATTGCTCCAGGTGTATAAAATCAAGCACCTAGCCATGCAGACTGCCTTTACACACATTAGTCGAAGAATTGGTCTAAAGAGCTCACTGAATTCCTGCGTGGTGCTGTGGTGATTCCACTGCTGTAACAAGTCACTTCGCAAAATTTCTTCTCTCGTATTACATGATCAACTGTGAGTGGTATTACTGAAAAGTGTAAGCATTTAGGAACCACAGCAACTCAGCCACAAAGTGTCAGACCACGTAAAGTTACAGAGCGGGTCTCCGAGTGCTGAGGAGCTTAGAGCATAAAAGTCTCCAACACTCTGCTGATCAATAACCTGAGTTCAAACCTCCTCTATCATTAACATGAGCACAGAAACTGCACCAGGAGCTTCATGGCAGCTGCATGCAAGCCTTACATCACCAAGCACAAAGCCAAGTGTTGGATGGAGAGGAGTAAAGCGCCGCCACTGGACAAGTCTTCTGTGGAGTAATGAATCAAACTTCTCTATCTGTCAGTCTGATGGATGAGTCTGGGTTTGGCGAATGCCAGGTGAACGTTACCTGCCTGACTGCACTGTGCCAGCTGTAAAGTTTGGTGGAGGAGGGACGATGCTATGGGGTTGTTTTTCAGGGGTTGGTCTAGAACCCTTAGTTCCAGTGAAGGGAAATCTTAATGCGTCAGCACCAAGACATTTTGGACAATTCTATGCTTCCACCTTTGTGGGAACAGTTTAGGGAAGAACCTTTCCTGTTCCAGCATGACTGAGTCCCAGTGCACAAAGCAGCTCCATAAAGGCCTGACTGGGTGAGTTTGGTGTGGAAGAACTTGACTGACCCTCACAGAGCCCTGACCTCAACCCCATCCAACACCTTTGGGATGATCTAGAACGGAGATGGTGAGCCAGGCGCTCGCGTCCAACATCAGTGTCTGACCTCTGATGCTCTTCTGGATTAAAGGGCAAAAATTTCCACAGACACTCCGAAATCTTCTAGGAAGCTTCCCAGAAGAGTGGAAGCTGTTTTAGCTGCAAAGGGGGACCAACTCCATATTAATGACTATGGAATAAGAATGGGATTCATAAAAGCTCCTGTAGGTGTGATGTGTAGGTGCCCCATTACTTTAGTCCATATGGAGTGTCAGCATATCTGAAATAGTCTGAAATACTGGTCAGACATGAAAAACATGCCAATACTGATAAGATTCCAATATTTTCAGCACTGCCAATGAGTTTAGTGATGAACACAGTAATCAAATGTATGTGTGGACACAATGTAATAATAAGGTGCAGTGTGGATCAGTTTAAGATACAGTCTCGGTTCC